ACCCGACGTCAGGATCGTCAGATTGTGCGACAGCATCTTCAAGATCGCTTTGCTACTGCTGCGGAAACTGCTCGACAGACCATGGGGACACACCAGCGACACATTAGTGTGGACGCCGTCGACGATTGTCGAGCAGACACCTCCACTGTCACAGGCCACACCGAGGACCCATTCTGCCGAGACCGTCTTCAGTGGGCAACACAGCACCAGCATTGGCGCCACCAGCAGAGGTGGAGAGTCCTCTTCTCAGACAGCAGATGGCAGAGAGAGAGAGAGAGAGAGAGAGAGAGAGAGAGAGAGAGAGAGAGAGAGAGAGAGAGAGAGAGAGAGAGAGAGAGAGAGAGAGAGAGAGAGAGAGAGAGAGAGAGAGAGAGAGAGAGAGATTGGCGACGCCGTTGGGAACGTTATTCGGGTGCTTGTGTTGTTGAGCGAGACTCGTGGGGTGGTCCGAGCATCATGGTGTGGGGTGGAATTGGTCTTGCACAAAGGTCGGCCCTGTGGTCTTCCAGAACATCGGTCCAGGGGGAGGCAATGGTGTCACAGCAGCTCGGTACATTGATCAAGTCTTGAGACCACACGCCATACCTCATTTGGCACGTCGCCGCAGCCACGAGTTTCAGCATGGTAACGCCCGTGCCAACACTGAGGGAGCAACAAGAGACTTCCTCCAGCAGAATGACATCAGAACCATGCAGTGGCCTGCCCTCAGTCCCGATTTAAAGTGACCGCCTCCGTGGTCTTGTGGTAGAGCGTCCGCCCGGAGAGCGGAAGGTCCGGGGTTCGATCCCCGGCCGCGTCATACCAAAAGACGTTAAAAGATTGTACTTGTTGTTACACTGTCTGGCGCTCGGCATTAAGGGGCTTAAACAAGGATTGGTCGGCTCGGAGTCAGTATACTGTGTCTGAGTGGGGTATTCATGTTAAACTGTGGCATGGTATCTCAGTGAGCTAGCACTATAAATCGGCATCAGTCCGGACTAGTACAAGCAGCCACACATACACGTGCATGCACATCGCTATATAAGTGCGATAATCTTGGACGCGACGTTAAACCCAAGTTCACCTCACCTCACCCGATTTAAATCCCACTGAGCACCTGTCGGACGAGATGCAAAGACAGGCGTTCCTCAGAGTGTGGGCTCAAGTGCCTTTGGCCTTCATCAACCGCCTCATCCATTCAATGTATCGACGGTGCACGGCAGTCATCAATGCACATGGAGGACCTACGAGATACTGACTTGTGATGCCATTTTCTCAGAGACTAGTGTTGTGCTTCACTTTAAAAACATTTGACACTTTAATTTCAACCTTGATGATCAGTTTTGCCAAGTTTCATCTTTTTGGTATGTCTCAAAGTATGTTTACAGTGTTTGGACAAATAAGGTTTATCATATATCTATCCATGGTTACGTTTCTTTTGTGGTTCAGTATATTTTGACTTAAATTACGGTACTCGAAATTGTCAAATTGTCCATGCTCGTCTAAGATTTGGATGTAGTGATATTAATAGTCATAAAGTAGAAAGACATATTTCAAATATTGCAGCATGTCAGTGTGGTTTATATTTGGATTCTCCACTTCACTTCCCCTTCACGTGTCCTGCTTATCATAACATTAGAAGCACAATGCACTACCACACAAGGGATTTTGATCTGAAAACGTTTTTTTATGGTAACAAGAATTTAACAAGAGCCCAAATATACTTACGTCTGTCGTTGATTTTACAGTAAATAGTGAAAAACTTGTACATTTGTACAATGTATATGTAATAAGCTTATACGCACATGACTAGGTCCCGTCAAAATCAGATTTAGAATTATTCTTCAGTAACCTTGCTTATGGTAAAAGGCGGCGACTGGTCTTGTCGTAAGAGGCGACTAACGGGATCGGGTGGTCAGGCTCGCTGACCTGATTGAAGCATGTCATCGTATCCCGACTGCGTAGATCGATGCTCATAATGTTAATCACTAGATTGTGAGGTCCAGATTCGAGTATTTAGAGACCGCTGTCAAAAGGCTGGACTATTTCTGGAGTGTGGCGTTAAACAAACAAACAAACAAACAAACATGATTGAAGTCCTGGTGACATGGGCGGTATTTTTACTCCATTTGTGTAATACTGTAGTTTCCTGACCTTCGAGTTTTGATGTCTACAATAATGTAACTGTAACAGAGGACGATATTTAAATGAAACAGTTATGTCTTTCATGTTAAGTTGTATATTATAAATTTAAACTTAACATACAATAATTTTGAGCACAGAGACGACGACCTGATACTCGAACACTGGTCACCATTGAAGAAATTACCCGAGGAACCCGAGTAAACCCTTGCTCTCCATCATCTTTACTTACTGTGTCAATCATCTTTCCTTACGGTGTCAATCATCTTTCCTTACGGTGTCAATCACCTTACTTACTGTGTCAATCATCTTTACTTACTGTGTCAGTCATCTTTACTTACTGTGTCAATCATTTTAATAAAATGTGTCAATCATCTTTACTAACTGTGTCAATCATCTTAACTTACTGTGTCAATCATCTTTAATAAACTGTGTCAACCATCTTGCTTACTGTGTCAATCATCTTTACTTGCTGTGTCAATCATCTTAAATAAACTGTGTCAGTCATCTTACTTACTGTGTCAATCATCTTTATAAACTGTGTCAATCAGCTTGCTTACTGTGGTTATCATCTTTACTTGCTGTGTCAATCATCTTTAACTGTGTCAATCATCTTACTTACTGTGTCAATCATCTTTAATAAACTGTTTCAATCATCTTACTTACTGGGTCAATCTTTACTTACGTTGTTAATCATCTTTACTTACTGGTTTCAATCATCTTTACTTACTCTGTCAAACATCTTACTTACAGTGTCAATCATCTTTGCTTACCGTGTCAATCATCTTAATAAACTGTCTTTGCTTACCGTGTCAATCATCTTAATAAACTGTCTATCATCTATAATAAACTTTGTCAATCATCTTTAAGACACTATCAATCTTCTATAATAAACTGTGTCAATCATCTTTAAAACACTGTCAATCATCTTTAATAAACAGTGTCAATCATCTTTAAAATACTGTGTCAGTCATCATTAATAAACAGTGCCAATCATCTTTAAGACACTGCCAATCATCTTTAATAAACAGTGTCAATCAACTTTAAAATAATGTGCTAATCAACGTGATTAAACTGTGCCGATCATCATTACTTTCTTATGGTAGTTGACCGACGTGTAATATTCTCTGGTCACGAAGCCTCTTTTTCATTTCCCTGTATAAGCCGTTTTAATCAAACGCCAATGTCAATATCACATGCGATTCACTAACTTTTATCTGCAACAATTTCCTTTATTTTCGTAGTTGGGTACACACAGCAACGGTGTTTGGCCATATGTTCACCTCTTGTGATATGTGCACCTGTCAGCCACGAGCTTTCACAAAGGTTGTCAACGAAGCCACAAACACCATGGGTTCAGGGTTGAGACTCTTGACATGGATAGTTAAGAGTTATGTCCCCTGAACAACAGATGTCTCCCTTCATGGCTCAGAGCCACGGAAGTTGTCCTGGTTGGATGACTTCCAGGTTTTAAAATGTGTTCAGTAAAATGTAATTATAATAATGAAATATTGATCGAATTGACTAAATAGGGTAAAATAATATTGTATATCTTATTTCATTATCAAGTTTGGTTTATATGTATAGCTGTGTCAACATAACTGTTGGAAACAAGATTAATTTTATGTCTACAGTGAGTCATGGTTAGTTTGAACTCCATCAACTCGAGATATTGGTTAATCACGCGACCTTATGGTTTGTGAATGTGACAACTATTCCTATGTACCCAGCGCACACCAGATAGTTGTTTGTTCTGTTGTCATGGTATTTTATTATAGTAATGCTGTTTATGTGATTAGTTTTCTGTATAAAAATACTTACGTTATGACGTCATGTTCGCCGTTCGAGAATACGAAACACACCTCCTGTTTTCTGATGGAGTCATGACTACACAATGTTCTCAGGTTAGTAGGCGAGATTTGAACCAGAGACCGCAAGAGTCCTATGTTCGGACAGACAGACAGACAGACAGATATTTTAATGATCAAGTCTCCATGTGTTTACATTCTTCCTCAAACCTAATGTACCTAATTAGCTTTTATACCCTATAAAGTAGACACAATTTATGTGACACTATTTATGTAAGCGATGTTTCGGTATAGATCCTTATACCATTGCCAAGCAAGACTGGAAACGGTATAAGTATCTATACCGAAACGTCGCTTTTTACAATATTAAAGAAGTTGTTATCCATAAATTGTGTCTACTTTGTCATCCATCAACTTCTAAGTAATGCCTATCAAACGATGTCTAAAGTGACGACATTTTCAATGACATTCAGCCCCACGTGCAAATCCCATTCTATGTAATCTGGTCAGAGCAATAATATATCTTGAAGCCAACATGGCGGCTGATGAATATCGCGAAACAATTACGAGGCAAACAAGTTCAATACCCAAACCTCTAATTATCCCCCTCTTAATCCCCTCTGGTCTAATGAAGCCCTCCCCGTGAGTAACGCCATCCCCCGCCCCCTCCTCCTGGTTCCTCTGGGCCCCCCTGGGCGGGAAGGTTTCTGATTGGCTGAAAGAAGAATGGTGCATTTTAAGCCTCTTGTTAACTAGAATCGTAGATCCCAATCTTCTAACAATTCTAAGCATTCGGAGAAATTAGAAAGATTAGTGGGGCGACTTGTGGTATTATGACAACTGAGGTGTAAACCCGCGATAGGACTCTTGTTCATTCATCAGAAACTCAGATCAGATTAGAAGACGTGTTTGCCTAACCCTCAGTATCTTCCTAAACCTACCTACCCAGTTTAGTCAATTGCTCGATCACTGAAAGGTCACAGTTTTTATCTACATTCTTATTGGTTTCGTGTGTGCTGATTTTGTAGACACTCAACTCGTTATTGATTGTTAAGGCATAGAACCGACAGTATGAAAACTGAGAACAACGACGATGTTGCGGAACGAAGTTTTGATGATGACGACGTCACTTTGAATGTGGAGGATGATGCGGTTTCTTCGGCCAGTTCTGAGAGAGATGAAAGTCTTAATGCGAATGATGGTAAGATACTGAACACAATTCACCTTTTGATAAAATGTAACGCTTCGTGTTGAATCAGTCACAGTGACATACCAAACCTATTCCTGTAAATGCGTTGTATCGCCCTACACGGGTCCGTAAACCTCAATTGTCCATTTCTATGTTTACGTTGAGAACTACATCATTTTATTAAATTACCATGAAAAAAGTCCTACTTCATATTTTCATGCACATATATTGTATTCGAATACAACCATACTGATCACAACTAATACATAATGACTTGTTTAGCAGAGTGACAGTCGCCAATTACAAAACAAGTGATAATATTGATGTGACAAGACATGAATACTCTTTTTCACCACAATACTGACCCCATTAAGTGGTCAAGACTTCGCAATCCTGTTTGTAATTGGTCGTAAATGTTTGTATTCGGACAACGCCGATTTTACATCAAATGACGCTTGATGTACTGCAATTATTACACGTACTTCTGTCAAGACAAGATATTTTCTTGATGACAACTTCTTTATTCTGGTATGATGCGACGTTTCGGTAGAGACCCTCATTCCGTTGTATAGTCCATCAGTTCAAACACGTGCATACAAGTGCAGGTTGAATGTGTTGTTACATTGTTATTGCATCTGATGGATTTCGCTTTACGAGTATGTCTGGTTGGTTGCACAAATCGGAACGGTTTTGATTTCATGTGACATATGTCGACTACCACAACTCATTGCCGTGTTGAATAGCAATTTCTTAAAACCCTAGCCTATATTTTTGTCGGGCGAAACACATTTGTTTTCGTTTAAAAACTGACAAACTCATGCTGAAATACAGAAACAAAAATCGGTTATGTAATAAGATGTTTCGTTACTGGTCTATAGCGTTACGGTTATTTGACCTTTGAACTACTGTCTCACATCGTCGCATTACGTGATATGACCAAGTACTGGCGACCATCGGGGGAACATACACAGTTCTTATACACAGAGTTGCTCATTATCAGTGCTACCTCTGGTATTTATAAAAAAACACATGACAAAACCCTTTCCATATTCCTATGAAATCTCTGCCAATAGCAGATGTTTATGAATGATTATCAACTAGTTATGACACCGGGTGTTCGCGAAAGGTCAGGTAGTAAGGTCAGTGTCACTGTAGATATTGCCAAGAGATACACCTAAGTTCGGAATGTGAAAAAAGGAGTGGTGTTTTTTTCTCGGTGTTTTCGCGACACTGTCGTGCCTGTCTTCCTGAACTTTAGTAACACGTAATTACCTGTATGTGTTTGTTGATGCAAATGATATTTTTAGGGTACCTTGGCTCTGTTGTTATTCAATATAATCTGCAGAATAAGAGCTTTTAGCGTTTTTAAAAATGATCAACAAATCATAGAAATACGAAAGTTTACTCAGTAATGTAATGGGCTATTCATTAAAAATCATATTTAGCTTCAAGATATTAATTGATTACACAAACTAATATCCCTAGTAAATTCATCCTGATCTATTTACTTTGTTGCTGTTAAATGCCTAAGCGTATGAATGGATACACAGACCTGTTTATCGACATGTGTCATTAAACAGTAGGGATCACTTTAGTATTGAGGAATTAAACATGTGGAAGTGGAAAATATATAACAATTACTCTTGTGTAGTCTTTACCACGTGATTAGGAATACAATGTATCTCAGATTGTTGGATGTTCTGGCATCTGTCACAAACGTCAGATTAGGGTTTAGAATATGCAAATTGAGGTGATTCTTTATAACCACATTTTTTAGTCAACTTCGCTGACAGGAGAAACATATTCAATATACCGTTATGTTAAGCAGCATATAACTTACCTCCTATAGCACAAGACACTTGATTTCTTTGGCTGCACCGCCCTTCTCAATGAGAATGATTTACTCTATGAATTTAAAGAAGCAAAAACATTTTCTGACAGCCCACAAACAATATTCACATATCACGGTTATGCAAACGTGTACATTCAGTGACGACAGTTCAAATTGTCCTTTCATCAGTATATATGAAGACGTTGACCTTTCATGTCTTCATAGCTGAAGATCGTGTAGAAATGGAGTGGAACGCAGAGTTATCAACTTCTGTGAAATATGTCAATGAGAGAATAGTGTTTAAACATGCAAATTGTACCTCAGCCATAATATACCGCACTGTTACAGTGGTATGACGCTTCCTTACATGTATAATTGATTATACGGCGGGCTGGTTGTATTGCATGTAAGCTCGAGTAACTGTTTCGGAATCTTTACTGAAACATCAGACTTTCGTTGGGTAGCCCAGTTGATAAACCTTTCGCTCGTCGCACAGACGAAAATCAGGGTTCTATTCCCATTTGGGTACATTGTATTTATGAAAGCGACGTATGGTTGACTACTACCATGTTCAGCTTCTCGCTGCACAAAACGATCTTATCACTACGACGGATGCGAGTCTGTAACTTGCGACAGTCGTAACGTTAAAGTCGCTTTGTGGTCCAAGACCAAGTTAAAGTTGCTGTTGCTGAAAGCATGATTATTCCTTGTGTTTAAATTGTTTGATAGGCATTACTTAGAAGTTGACGGGTCACAAATTAGACACAATTTATGGAAAACAGCTTCTTTATTTACTGTGAAGGCGATGTTCGGTATTTATCCTTGCTTGACCACGGTATAAGGATCTATACCAAAACGTGGCCTTAACAGTAAATAAAGAAGTTGTTATCCATAAATTGTGTCTAATTTGCCCTTGTGTTTGAGATGCTGTATATGTTTGACCACATATCCCACTGTATCAGCAGATGACGAGGCTGGGGTAAGTTCCGACGGAAGTGGGTCAAGCAAGAAACAGAGAAGAAACAGAACAACGTTCTCGGCCGAGCAGCTTCGAGAGCTGGAGTCGGTGTTCCAGCACACCCACTATCCCGACTGCACCCTCCGGGAACAGATTGCAGACAAGGTGGACCTGACGGAAGCAAGGGTGCAGGTGAGACGCCAGTCAATCATAATTTATTGTTTAACGCCGAACAGCAGTATTCAAGCAATATGATGGGTATGTAAATAATCGCGTCTGGACCAGACAAACCAGTGGTCGACATTGTGAGCATCGATCCACGCCTTGTGGCTGCGATGACAAGGAATCAACCATGTCAACGAGCCCGACCCTTAAGTCGCCTCTTTCAACACAGAGCCGAACAGTGGCCACATTGTATGAGTGAGTGAGTTGGGTTTGATGCAGAGTACAATCATATCGCGTGTTTGTTGTTTAAGTCAGCAATTATCAAACATATTCAACCATATCAAGAAGTGTCAGCTATATGTGCACGTGGAACAGATGAAATTAATTTTCCGTATAAATATGTTTTTAATGAATCACTTACTTGGCATAAAAGTCATTAACTCTGTAATGTGCTTAAGATTGAAACTTAATATAGTACATTGTAATGGAACACACAGTGACCAACTACGGTCTTGCTTGTCCTTCTCAGACACGCTTACCTGTTTGTTAAGTGTAGAACGGCTGTCAAAGCATCTCACGAGAAAATACCATTTAAATACTCGTTCAAAATGCCATTATGAAAAACAAAAAAAATAAATTGCTGAGTACTTAAAAAAACCCAACACTCTACACACGCTTTGTTAAAATGAATGCATTTCTATGTTATTGGGTAGGTAGACTTGCAGCTCTTGTGTAACGAAGCGGTCATCATCTAGCCAAAATAGGGGATAACATTCACGGATTAAGAAATACAATGTTTCAAGTCAACTGATGTGGATATGCAACAATGTCCATCTGTATTGAACAACGAGGGAATGAAAGGCTTCGCTTCATCATATGAAGGATGCCTTGTTTGCTACCTGATAATTGGTAATCGGCACCTTTGATTAAGCCTTCTTGAGAGCCAGGTCGCTGTTATCACTTGTTTAATGAAGTGTTTAAATCTCGCTCGCTATTCACGTCCCCGCCCCAAAGATCAGATGGCCTGGGGGTAGGGGTACACCCAAGGGGGTCGGGGATAGTTTTCAGGCTATCGTGCAAACATTGTCCGTGTATTGACTAGCGAGAGGCTTCTAGTTATATGGGTAATTGTGATAATTATTGGCTCATTTAGAAATCACTCGAGCCCGAGACTGCATTCACTGCGGACCGCCTCCCGCTGACATCACGTGATCTCAAGAGCGCCACCTTGCAATTTACCTCCCTTGATTGGCCAACGAGAGACTAATTACGAGCAGATTAGGGGGCTCCGGGAATACAACTAAAATAAGGACGGACAATGCGAGCTGGAGCTTTACAATTGTTATGGCATCAGGAGAGCTCGTTGAACACATGTCACGATCTTTGAGAGGAGTTGTTTGGTCGAGTGATCGGCTTAGAAGACCATGTACTCACAGGTCGGAGGTTAATCATCTGCGCTTGTCAGAAACGTTCAGGGGTACAATTTATTTAGCAAAACGCGAATCGCTGATTTATTTATCGATGATTCTGAGATTGAAACATGATGAAAGGATTACAATTATTAGTATGAATTAACATTTGACAATTATTTGATTTTAAATATGGAGATGTATGATGAAACAAATCATAATCAGATTACCCATGAATCGTAACACGAATAGATCAAACAATATCAAACTAAAATTGTTGTGTTCAAAAAAATATTTTTTTACGACTATGTGCATGTTCCCATATTAAATCGGTCAAACAAGTAAACATTTGGCATTAACAGTAAGGTATATTAAAAGTGTTGGGATCTTACCATGTGTAGAAATAAATAATGGAAAATATTACGTGACCCATAAAACAACTGACAAGGATTTCTTAAACAAAATTGATCCCCTCCATTAAGAAACATGCCACAATCTGACGCTTTTCATATCGTATTACCACTTGAGATTATTGATCCCATAATCTAGGTTTTAATATACATATGTGTTTGCGGTACAAAAAGAGTATTATACCACAAAAGAGTTGTGTGTTTAGTTTGGACCAACACAAACCTCCACAAGTAAACAAGTGATTACTAATGAAAGGTTAAAACCACACACAAATCCGATTACTCGCGACAAATACTTGCTTAGCGTCTCGAAACCAGCTGAGATTATTGAAAGTGTCGTAATAAGGTTTATACTCCCCTGTATTAAAGCATGTTATTGAATAACAGGTGACTGATATCTTAGCTTCCTTGATTCCATTAAGACGTTTCGTCACGTGGTTTATATTACTCCAACGTCTTTAAGTCGATATACATCGTTAAGACGACGTGACATGGTCTCGACATGATACTCAGTAGCTCTTTGGGCTTACATCGCCACTCCTCTTTATCTAAGTCCATGTGTTTTGTATGTCATCGGGAGCTTAAGTTTTTTGAAACAATTAATCTGTTCCCGAAAATACTGGAAAAATATTTTGTCCTCAGGGTTTACCACTGGGCAGTGCGGGGTAGCGTTGTGGGTACGTCAGCTCGTCACGGGTTAGAATCTCCTAATGGATATGATATACACTGTAAGCAGTCCATGATGTGGCTGGAATTTGAAACAATAATACTGCACAAGTTCGCTTCAGCTGGAGTTTTTGCCGAATGCGATGAAAAGTTAATAATCACTTACGTATGCTGTTGTGGCGGGGGAAATTTATAATAACAATGTCAATATCAAAACTTCAAAATGTCTAAAAACATAACTCATCAAAAGCCCATTAACCCACCCCACCACCCACTCCACCTCCACATAACCACCAAGAAGATTAAATAGTCGGCCCCTGAGCAGATCTAACATTTTCGAATATTTATAATTTTATTGACGAATCACAAATATGTTAATAAATACGGCATGAATGAATATCTCCTGCCGCCATTTTGTAAATAATGTTTAAGTCGCATCATCTTGTTATTTCCGCCGCTGGTTTGGAGCAGAAATAGACGCCCCCCGCAGTGTCTCCCCTCAGAACATCCCGCCCATGCTGCCAGATACAGCTTTAATTACAACTGATCTTCTCGCTAACAAATCCTCTATAAATATCAATTGTAGATCCTTCTAAAAGTACCTGTTTTCTAACTCATTGGAGACAATGTCTATCGGATTACCTCCCTTTGATGAAAATCACGCTGAGATCTCGCATCGGCGTAATCGGATTAGTCCATTTTGTAAGAGGGGATTTCGATACCCGATGTTTAGTATCTGGTTTGTTAAACATCCCGTTACGTCGATGTAGAACAGTGATGTGGAGTTCAATTGATGCTGTGTGTTTGGAATGTGGGGAAAGCTCCCGACACGGATAATAATGCCCTATTTTAGGGATAATAGATTTAATAGGTGCTTCAAGGACGCTTGTAGTTCACCGCGTTTTCATGCCCCAATGCTTTACAGGAACTATACCTATTTTCTGCTGTTAGTGACAAACGTACAATTCTATTGAAATACGTTTTCTATATGTTTGTCTTATTTTCAAAGGTCTTAAGTTGATTGAATTCCAACATACAAACAGCTATGTTATTTGAAAGAATTAACGGTTATTTATGAACACACGTAGAACTGAATGACATGTGCCTAATAATTAGATACTCAATATTATTCAAATCAAATGTTTAATGTTAAAATGGGAAAGAATACTGATTTGTTGAGGGCAGGGTCTGCCTGGTCGGGGAACGCGTTGAGTTGCGCCCCTCAGACGTACCAGGATCCGACGATTGTGGGTTCAAATCCCAGATTCATGCTGGTTATGATTATCTCTCTGTCATATTTCTATTAACTTATCGACCACATTTCCAATACTGGAAGCTGCCGAGAGGCGTCCAAAGATAGGAAAACATAAAGGTAGACGTGATCTAGAGATGGAATTCCTTGTGGAAAACAACACCAACGTCTCATAATGTTTGTGAACCCCTCGCGCTAGGAGTTACGGGTAGAGGACCACTTGGACGCTTAAAAAATAATAGTGTAAGCAGATTAAGCAGCGCTTCGAGCGAGCATTCGATAGCCACCTTTTGTACATGCTTCTTGTGAACGATTTTTGTAAAGGTTTCCTGTCTATGCTGACTGTATACGCCTCTAGTACATGCTTCTTGTATATGCTTCTTGTATATGCTTCTTGTACATCCAAGGGGGCACGGGTGGCCCAGTCGTCTAAGGCGCCGCGATTCGCTGTGCAGAGTTGCATCCCTTGGGCACTCGAGAAACCTATGATTGTGGGTTCGAATCCCGGTTCGCCTCGATTATGCTTCTAGGTTTGTCAGCACCATACCCGTGCTCGTGGGTTTCACCAAAGTGGTTAACGTCTGAGACCTGCATCACTTCGGGCTTTCCTACCACGTTAAGCTGACACGCCGTGATTTAACTGGAATGATGTTAAAAGCGGCGCTAAACCCAACTCACTCACTCACTCTCACATCAAGCTGACACGCCGTCATATAACTGACATACTGTTCAAAGCTGTGTCACACCCAACTCACTCACTCACTCTTGTACATGCAAATACTCATGAACGCGTCTGTTTGTTTCAGGTGTGGTTCCAAAACAGAAGAGCTAAATGGCGGAAGCAAGAGAAGAGCATGGTTCGAATGATTGATGTATGGAGACAAAGATGCGATACCTACCCACAAGTCATCTCACATCCGTTACAATCACTTCCGCCATCACTTCCACCTACAATGCGACCACCATTGTTTCCATGGATACCGAGGTTTCCGGTCTCCTTTCCCCCACTCTTCCACCTGCCCACGTTTCCTATAGACAACTCCCAGCCCTTGTTCAAAGGTAAATAGAGTCCATTACATCTGAACGTAAATCATTGCCTCAAAGGGACGGTCGGGTAGCCTAGTGGTTAAAGCGTTCGCTCGTGACGCCGTAGACCCGGGTTTGATTCCCGACATGGGTAAAATGTGTGAAGCGTAAAACCATACTCACTCATTGCCACAAAGGGGCGTAGTAGCCCAGTGGTTTAAGGGCTGCACTTGTCTGTCCCGAGTTGCGCCGTCAGGTGTGCGAGGAGACTCTGCTTCGAATACCAAATTCGCCAGGATTATGTTTCAAGATTATCAGCACCACACGCGTGCTCGTGGCTGGCACGACAGTGGTGAACATCTGCGACCTGCATCTGTTCGGGCTTTTTAAAGTGACGTTAAATCAAACTCGCGCACTTCCTCCATCTTTGCTACAGTGTCTCTGGGGTAATTTCTGCAGATTCCGCCGTCGTCCTTCTTATCCTTTAAACCTTTTAGGCGATATTACCAGAACATCACAGTGGCACCGGTCACAAACACATGCAAAGGCAAGTCTATTGTTCACTTGAAAAATATACACGGAACATATGGTACAAATTAAATAGGGAATTGTATCAGACATTATTAACGAACACGACAAACACACAATAAACTGTTAAACATCGGAGGATGCAATTTTTGGTTGGACAAACATGATAATGCCCTGGTTAGCTATTTTTCCTTAAATCAGAATAAACTAGACATTGGAGAGAAACCATGGTATTGGCAGCCTGCTCCGTACCAGGAAGTCTCTGGCCTCCAAGATGCAGCCATTCCCATAAAAATTAATATTTTATGATACACACGCAAGTTGAGTTAGTGAGTTGGGTTTAACACCGCTTTTAATATTCCAGTTATATCACGTCGTGTCAGCTTAATGTGTGAGGAAAGCCCAAAGTGATGTAGGTCTCACCACTTCGGTGAAACCCACGAGCACGGGTATGGTGCTGACAAACCTAGAAACATAATCGGGGCGAACCAGGATTCGAACCCACAATCATACGTTTCTGGCGTGTCTAAGGGACGCAACTCTGCACAGCGAATCGCGTCACCTTATATGACTTGGCCACCCGTGCCCCTCACGCAAGTTGTGATGTGTCGCCATAAGATGTGTTGAATTAAGGCATGAATGCTAATTAAACCACACGGAATTTATCTAACGCCACTCTGCTTGACCTTTCAGTGGACTTGAATCTTCAACCTCCCAAGTCTCCCACAGTTCCTTCGCCTACGAGAAAATACGAGACTTTCGCACGAGATTACCTTGAGAGACTGTCAACTGAATCAAAGGAACGTAGTACAGCCACGACAGACGAGTCGTCAGCGCATTCCAAAATACGCGATACGTCATGATGACGTCACGATGACGTGTTACATAGATGGTACGTGTAAATAAATAATCTAAACGTGCCTTTTTACGACGGTTACACAAGGGAAGAGCAGGAACTCAATTGTCGAAGGCGTCGTAATTCGCTGTGCGGAGTGACGTCACTGACGTGCAAAGATATTTTTTTCCATCAAATGTGTACCTCAAGTGCTGAGGATATCTTATTGTACATAGCTGTTAATTCTCTGTGAGTTTGTATTTAAATGAATTGTAAAAACATAGAGATGGGATCCTGTAAGTTTGTAGTCCCGGATATTCCCTGATTAAGATCCTAGGTTTGTCAACACAGTAACAACGTGACGTCACCACAGTAACATCTTCATCAACGTGACATCCTCACTGGTATGAGATAGTAATATAATGATTATCTAAAAACCTCCTGAAAGGTTGTATACACCCCAGGGAGTTGATAATGCCCTGTGAGTACACACCGATCAATTGACAAGGTTAATAATTATGAAAGGGTCATGCAGTACATGGATACGGCTAATATAATTATGCATGTATTATTATAATTGCTTGGGGGGGGGGGGGGGGAGGTCGATTCCCCACATAGGCACATATCTGGTATCCCCCGCCGTGCTGGAATATTGATATAGGCGACGTAAACCCATACTCACTCACTCACCCACTCACTCATTCACGCACTCACTCACTCACTCACTCACTCATAATTACTTAACTTTGGACTTTCTTCACACATGAAACAAACACACCGTGATACGTAACTGAAATAATCCTCGAATGGCTGTAACATCAAACACTTTCATAGTGAGGAATTCAATGTGTTCCATTTAATGGCTTTAGCCAGTCCTGAAAACTACTAAGTTTATGTGGTCATACACGAAGACCGCAGCCAAGAGTTGAATTGCGTCCCTGTGGCGCGCCATGTGGTCGTGGGTTCGAATCCAGGTTCTCCCGATTCTGTTCCTGTGCACAATGCCCAATTTCGTGGGTTTCACCAAAGTGGTAAATACCTAACACCTGCCCCATTCCGGTCTTTCCCCAGCACGAAGCTGACACGCTGTGATATAATTGAACTGTAGCTCAAACCGGTGTTCAACCCATCCCACTCACTCTTAATCTTAACAGACATTATTATTTCCCAGCATAAAATATATCTAAGAAGCATAAACTATATCTGAGAAGCAAACAAATGCTTCATATACACATTTTTATAGCGCGTGTTATGCAATCCTTGAGCATCGTAGCTTAAAACCCCTTGTTCCGTACCCGCTTCGAAGCAAAAAGCTTCAAGCTTCTTCCGTGTCAATGAAAGCATCACTCGGGGTACACATGGGTTTATGCGTCCCTCCAGCTCGTAGTATAAACCTAATGCATAAGAGCACATGTACCTCTTGTGCTACTGCTAGACATTATGTGAAGCGAGATATGTCATATGCTCGTGGTATCATTAACGGGTAGGACTCATTTGACAATCCGTGAGTTATACAAGGACCCGTTTCATTGGCTGACTAAGAATAGGCACACGCCACTACCACACAACATATCGACCCTGAGTATTCTCGGGTGATGGATGAAGGTAGCTTATACAAACACACGGAGAACTGACGATGGAGCGTTACAGGCTTAAAAGAACAAACGTAACACCGGGATGATGACGAAATGATCGTTACAGGTTCCTCTTTCATAGGTGTCATCTTCCCGAGGCAAGGGAGTTAACTGACTGTAAAAGTCCAGTTTTCACCCTTGCCGAACTAGGCTGGAATTTCTGGGCTCGATCGCAGCGCCACCAGGGTCGATTACAAGTTATGTCCCTTCTATGTCCCTCCTATTGTCCAATCAGATTCCACCTCTCATATCACTTGCGTTTGCTTCAAATAAAATGGCGTCGCCCAGTGAAGACGATCTGATCGATAATTAAGATCTATATTGTAATAACACGGGTCTTACTTCGCGAAGTGCATCAAATCATGTGAGCATTTTCATTATAAAATGAAAAGATTTGGGAAATATCTGTTGACGCTCGGTTGACGGTACACATGCTTAGCAAATCCTGCAAGCGACCGAAATCTGCACGGCAGTTTACGAACCGATTTTGATTGGACTATGCATAGACTAGTTAGTCCAGCCAAAATATAACTCCATAATTCCAGCAAAGTTCAACAAGTCAGTTAACTCTCTTGCCTCGGAAAGATGATAAGTGTGGACGTTAAACCATACTCACTCACTCACTCATAGCAAGGAATACAGGTTTGACAGTAGACAAGTAGATGCTTGTATATAGGAAACAGTGAAGTAAAATATCTTTATTTTCATATAATCAAATGTACCGCAAGTGCTGCTGAAATCTTCATTGACATATATTACATTCTTGATGAGTTTGTTTTTAAACACAATGTTAATAAATGAAGATATTCATACCTGTTACTTTGTAAATAAATTGTTATGATATTGTAAATAAATATTTTATACATATTTGATCAAATGTATTGTTTTCATTACAACCAATCATTCTTTGGGCACATGTATATGACAGTTCGTGATGTGGGGGATGTTAAACCAAAGAATATACATTGTTTTAAACACTCGTGTATTCATAGCTTTCGGCCATGGGAGCCGTGCCAATTTACACTTGTCAGAGGGGTACTCAAAGTACGCGATCTAGACTACCAGTTGTCGGACTTTCCTTTTGTGGAAGCCTCGGTGGCTGAGTGGGTTAGATCGCTGACTTTGTGTGCTGGCGATAAGGTGCCTCACTCTGGCAAGTGAGGGTTCGAATCCCGGACGAAGAATCGAGAATCTGTACTTTACTGAGAAAGTGTTATCCCAAATATAACATTTGTTACATTGTTTTAAACACTTGTGTATTACATGAGAGTTGTTTGATGTATTCGCCCTGTTAACTCAAGATGATGGATCTCCATTTAGTGAAAGGTGCATTTCTTAAATAGGTCGTACCATCGTGAATCAACAACACGTGGCGACCGGTTGGTCTCTGCACAGGTCACAGGTCACAAGGCAGGTGACGTTAAGCAACGTCGGTCGCAGAGAGTTCTTGGATAATCTGAATCTCAAGATTGGATTCTTTTTCATTTTTTGTGATATACAATGTATATGGAAATTAATATCTGTATTTACGTTGTTTGTCGAAAATTAGAATTTGTCTGAAGCTGAAAGCTGATTTTGTGGATGTATTACGCGAGTATATCCCGTTGATGATTGTGAGGTTAGGTGTACTGGGGTTTAACGTCGCGTCAAAGATGATTATTGAACTTACATAGCAACGTACGCGTGTGTGGCTGCTTGTACTATTCCGGGTTAATGCCGATATTATAGTGCTAGCCCACTGAGATCCCATGAAGCAGAAAACCTCACTCAGACACAGTATACTGACTCCGAGCCGACCAGTCCTTGTTTTAGCTCCTTAATGCCGAGCGCCAGGCAGGGTAACGTCAAGTACCTTCTTTTGCGTCTTTTGGTATGACGCGGCCGATGATCGACCACAAGTAAATCTTGCCAAGAAATCTCTGTGTGAAACAAATCTGGCGCGGTCAGAATCGGTGACTTGGCTGATAGCTTGTCATCGCACCCCGATGGCTTTGATTGTTGCTCATAATATCAGTCATTGGTCTCAAGAAAATATCAAGCAAAGAGTCTCTTTTCATCACTCAAAACATTTATTTTCCAAACTAATATTGAAATATGAAGCGCACTCTTGATTAACACTCTGCTCAAATTCGATCATGTACTATGTAAAGTCTATTATTCTCTGTTGTGGAATGGAAAAGATGTGTCACTAAAAATGATAATTCTTTTGAAGTAACTATTTCCTAATAACTCTTCTGTAATTATTTCCAATTTTTTTCTTTCGCGCAAAAATAGTTTTTTTGCTCGAATTGCGTTCTATACGACTTCGAATAAAACAAAACAATACTTTCGAACCTAAACAAACCTGGCATAACAAAGAAGACCACTTTTCCAGATGTTGGCCTTGGTACAAACAAGATATAGACCTCCCAGGACACACTCTGTGGGATCCAAGGCATCAAACTCCAATCATCAGGGGGGAATATTTGTTTCTATTCAATGCCCACCCTCGTCTATCAAGTGCATTATATATCTTAATTCATTTTTTTCAACCGTCTAAAACATAATTATTAGTTCCAATAATTTTCGGGAACAATTAATTTTATCTATAAAATCCCAACCATATGAATTCCCCGCCCCAGAAAATGAAACGGTCGGCCTCTAAGCATGCACATTTTACATTGTACATTTTTCTTCTGTTTGGCATCACATCATTGTTCGTCCAACAACGAGTCATTAGACCCGTGCAGGCAATTCAGAGTTTCTAACAAGAATCTAACAACTAAATACACTCACCAACCAATGTTCCTTGGCATCGCAAGATGGATATTGTCATCTATCTGATCCAAAACCACCACACTGGACTTCAATGTCCTTTACCAACCAGTTCCTTGGCACCCGCTTCATCCACAATCAGTAGCGTATGTTCATTACCGCCTGAATTCACAACCACTGTCCGACATTTCCCTGTCTCATTCAGGAAGGCCAGTGCCTTTGCCATTTTCCTGACATCAGCCCAGTGATCTTTGTCGTCCACGGACAGTTTACTTTTCCCTTTCCCCATCTTGTCTTCTTTCTTTTTCTTCTTCTTCTTCTCCTTCTTCTTGGACTTCCCTTTGTCGTTTGAAGGTTCTTCGTCTGGAACCGTAGCAGATGACAAATCAGCTGCTTCATCCTCAATGTCCCCATCATTGATATCATGGCCTTCTTCAATTCCTGTGTCCATCACATCCGTGTCTTGTGTATGGCTGGAATCTGTGACTGAGTCTTGCCTCATCAGTGACGATCTTCTCCTCTCAGCCAGACCTTCTGGCCTCTCAAGAGTGACATCCAAACTCATCTTCTTACACTGCTTGGGAGTCCCTGTTGTTTTAAGCGATCCCATTTTAGCCTTCGAGTCAATGGATCCAGTTGAATTTAAACCATCCTTAGCAATGACGAGTGTGGATTTGTCTGTCTTTTGACAAAATAGGACCAAGAGGCGATAAAACTGAAGAACAAGAACAAGGGTATTCTTGCATGTGAAGAACAGATTAGTGTAGCTCAGGACACCGTATCGGAATATCAACAGCATTCGCATGACCAAGAACGGCCCATCCTGAAGCATGACACTGATCATCATGGATAGCACTTCAGTAGGGCAACATGACTTCCCTCCCACGGAGATTGTGGAGGCAGAACTCCCAGAGTGGAACAGGACAGGACGCATTCTTTTTGACTTGGTGGCGGTTAGGACAAAGGTGAACTGCAGGAGGCTGGCCGTCCACATAGACAGGATGATCATGGTGAGGATTTTGTTGTAGCGGACTTCCTTCTCCTTGAAGGCTTCAAACAGCTCGATGATGTCAGCAGCCATGCCGATGTAAACCAGCAGGAGCTGGGAGAGTTGTTCACGGGTTATCTCCCCCTTGGGAAGCAGCCATCGACCAATGATGAGAACAAGCAGCATCATTTGTTCCAGTATCTTGCACCAGTCGTCAGGGGCAAAGAGGACTGGGAGACTTATCTGAAAGAGGAATTAGGCAGTGGAACCTCCAAATGTTATAACAAACAGTATCTTAGACCAGTCGTCAGGGGCAAAGAGGACTGGGAGACTTATCTGAAAGAGGAATTAGGCAGTGGAACCTCCAAATGTAATAACAAACAGTATCTTAGACCAGTCGTCAGGGGCAAAGAGGACTGGGAGACTTATCTGAAAGAGGAATTAGGCAGTGGAACCTCCAAATGTAATAACAAACAGTATCTTAAACCAGTCGTAGGGGACAAAGAGGGCTGGGAGACTTATCGGAAAGAGGAATTAGGAATGTAGGACGATAACAGTGAGGAATTACTCATTAATGGGAGTCATAACGGGTGTGTCAAGTGAAGTGATGTAAGTCCAGACCTTGGTCATAGTGTAGGTGTAACCAGTTGATTTTAGAAGCGGGTGATAAGGTTAATATACACCTTCCGGATAAATTAGATACAACCAACCCTCCAGATAGCATTACGATAAAACAGATCATGCTGAAATGTATGCAATTCAAGGCGCATCCTTTCCAGAATATAGTTGGGAATAGCACATACATCTATATTGTCTGCATAATGTTTACTTGGCAATAAATTACTCTCCTTGATAAACTAGCTACCTCTAGCGATGGCTCTGGATATCGACTGGAGATCATGCAGATGTGACCTGGTGTTATTGAGACAGGTTTTATTCTGTGAGAGGAGCTGAACAATATATTTTCACAACATTTGTTTGGGGATATTCGTAGGAGTGAACAGACTCAGCCCATAGCTTGATTTCTTCCCGTCTTGTAAACTTTTCGCATTCAAGACCTTTAAGCCCCGCGACCCGTGAAGATCCGGGGTAGAATAGGCCTTCAGCGACCCATGCTTGCCGTAAAAGGCGAGTATGCTTGTCGTAAGAGGCGACTAACGGGACCGGGTGGTCAGGCTCGCCGAACCGGTTGATGCATGTCATCGAATCCCAATTGCGTGGATCGATGCTTATGATGTCAATCATTGGATTGTCTGTTCCAGACTCGATTATTTACAGACCGCCGTCATATAGCTGGAATATTGCTGAGTGCGGCGTTAAACAACAAACAAACAAAACACCACAAAGAGAATAGTGGGTTCCACAAAACATTGTGAGGTTTCCACAAAAAGATTTGTGTTTTTCCACAAAGAGATAAATGGGTTTCAACAAAAAGGGTTTTCACAAAGGGATTAGTGGGTTTCCACAATATAGCTGGAATATTGCTGAGTGCCGCGTTAAACAACAAAGACATAACTTTAAGCCCCGCACACAGGTACATGAAGCTAAACATGGAGATGAGAACACAATGACATCCGAAGCTGAACATGGAGATGAGAACACAATGACATCTGAAGCTGAACATGGAGATGAGAACACAATGACATCTGAAACTGAACATGGAGATGAGAACACAATGACATCGCAAACTGAACATGGAGATGAGAACACAATGACATCCGAAGCTGAACATGGAGATGAGAACACAATGACATCTGAAGCTGAACATGGAGATGAGAACACAATGACATCTGAAACTGAACATGGAGATGAGAACACAATGACATCGCAAACTGAACATGGAGATGAGAACACAATGACATCCGAAGCTGAACATGGAGATGAGAACACAATGACATCGCAAACTGAACATGGAGATGAGAACACAATGACATCCGAAGCTGAACATGGAGATGAGAACACAATGACATCGCAAACTGAACATGGAGATGAGAACACAATGACATCTGAAACTGAACATGGAGATGAGAACACAATGACATCGCAAACTGAACATGGAGATGAGAACACAATGACATCCGAAGCTGAACATGGAGATGAGAACACAATGACATCGCAAACTGAACATGGAGATGAGAACACAATGACATCCGAAGCTGAACATGGAGATGAGAACACAATGACATCTGAAACTGAACATAGAGATGAGAACACAATGACATCCGAAGCTGAACATGGAGATTAGAACACAATGACATCGCAAACTGAACATGGAGATGAGAACACAATGACATCTGAAACTGAACATAGAGATGAGAACACAATGACATCCGAAGCTGAACATGGAGATGAGAACACAATGACATCGGAAACTGAACATGGAGATGAGAACACAATGACATCTGAAACTGAACATAGAGATGAGAACACAATGACATCCGAAGCTGAACATGGAGATGAGAACACAATGACATCTGAAACTGAACATGGAGATGAGAACACAATGACATCTGAAACTGAACATGGAGATGAGAACACAATGACATCCGAAGCTGAACATGGAGATGATAACACAATGACATCGCAAACTGAACATGGAGATGAGAACACAATGACATCCGAAGCTGAACATGGAGATGAGAACACAATGACATCTGAAACTGAATATGGAGATGAGAACACAATGACATCCGAAGCTGAACATGGAGATGAGAACACAATGACATCCGAAGCTGAGCATGGAGATGAGAACACAATGACATCGCAAACTGAACATAGAGATGAGAACACAACGGCATCCGAAGCTGAACATGGAGATGAGAACACAATGACATCCGAAGCTGAACATGGAGATGAGAACACAATGACATCGCAAACTGATCATAGAGATGAGAACACAATGACATCCGAAGCTGAACATGGAGATGAGAACACAATGACATCCGAAGCTGAACATGGAGATGAGAACACAATGACATCGCAAACTGAACATGGAGATGAGAACACAATGACATCCGAAGCTGAACATGGAGATGAGAACACAATGACATCGCAAACTGAACATGGAGATGAGAACACAATGACATCTGAAGCTGAACATTGAGATGAGAACACAATGACATCCGAAGCTGAACATGGAGATGAGAACACAACGACATCGCAAACTGAACATGGAGATGAGAACACAATGATATCTGAAGCTGAACATGGAGATGAGAACACAATGACATCGCAAACTGAACATGGAGATGAGAACACAATGACATCCGAAGCTGAACATGGAGATGAGAACACAATGACATCCGAAGCTGAACATGGAGATGAGAACACAATGACATCGCAAACTGAACATGGAGATGAGAACACAATGACATCGCAAACTGAACATTGAGATGAGAACACAATGACATCCGAAGCTGAACATAGAGATGAGAACACAATGACATCGCAAACTGAACATAGAGATGAGAACACAATGACATCCCAAGCTGAACATGGAGATGAGAACACAATGACATCGGAAACTGAACATAGAGATGAGAACACAATGACATCCGAAGCTGAACATGGAGATGAGAACACAATGACATCCGAAGCTGAACATGGAGATGAGAACACAATGACATCCGAAGCTGAACATGGAGATTAGAACACAATGACATCTGAAACTGAACATAGAGATGAGAACACAATGACATCCGAAGCTGAACATCGAGATGAGAACACAATGACATCCGAAGCTGAACATGGAGATGAGAACACAATGACATCCGAAGCTGAACATGGAGATGAGAACACAATGACATCGCAAACTGAACATGGAGATGAGAACAATATGACATCGCAAACTGAACATGGAGATGAGAACACAATGACATCCGAAGCTGAACATGGAGATGAGAACACAATGACATCCGAAGCTGAACATGGAGATGAGAACACAATGACATCGCAAACTGAACATGGAGATGAGAACACAATGATATCTGAAGCTGAACATGGAGATGAGAACACAATGACATCGCAAACTGAACATGGAGATGAGAACACAATGACATCTGAAGCTGAACATAGAGATGATAACACAAAGGCATCTGAAACTGAACATGGAGATGAGAACACAATGACATCTGAAGCAGAACATGGAGATGAGAACACAATGACATCTGAAGCTGAACATGGAGATGAGAACACAATGACATCTGAAGCTGAACATAGAGATGATAACACAATGACATCGCAAACTGAACATGGAGATGAGAACACAATGACATCTGAAGCAGAACATGGAGATGAGAACACAATGACATCTGAAGCTGAACATAGAGATGATAACACAATGACATCTGAAGCAGAACATGGAGATGAGAACACAAAGGCATCTGAAACTGAACGTGGAGATGAGAACACAATGACATCCGAAGCAGAACATGGAGATGAGAACACAGTGACATCGCAAACTGAACATGGAGATGAGAACACAATGGCATCCGAAGCTGAACATGGAGATGACATGGGGGGTTGTAAATGACATCTTCATCTTCCTGTCCTACCATGTCCTACCTGGCTGTTCCACACGGTAATCTTCTCGGTCCTGGAGGCGTTGACAGACGCTCTGCCACCAGTCCTGGCTGCTAGGATTCTTCTGTCCAGGAGATTGAGTTCCAGGAACCAGATCGCAGGAACTGCAGTCGCCAGATACAGTAGCACGCTGGGGCAGACCCTGAAAACACGATCCATTACCTTACATTATGTCACGTGCATAAATCTATTACCTTACATTATGTCACGTGCATAAATCTATTACCTTACATTATGTCACGTGCATAAATCTATTACCTTACATTATGTCACGTACATAAATCTATTACCTTACATTATGTCACGTGCATAAATCTATTACCTTACATTATGTCACGTGGATAAATCTATTACCTTACATTATGTCACGTGCATAAATCCATTACCTTACATTATGTCATGTACATAAATCTATAACCTTACATTATGTCACGTGGATAAATCTATTACCTTACATTATGTCACGTGGATAAATCTATTACCTTACATTATGTCACGTGGATAATTCTATTACCTTACATTATGTCACGTGGATAAATCTATTACCTTACATTATGTCACGTGGATAAATCTATTACCTTACATTATGTCACGTGGATAAATCTATTACCTTACATTATGTCACGTGGATAAATCTATTACCTTACATTATGTCACGTGGATAAATTTATTATCTTACATTATGCAACGTGGATAAATCTATTACCTTACATTATGTCACGTGGATAAATCTATTATCTTGCATTATGTCACGTGCATAAATCTTTTACCTTACATTATGTCACGTACATAAATCCATTTTCTTACATTATGTCATGTGGATAAATCCATTTTCTTACATTATGTCCCGTACATAAATCCATTACCTTACATTATGTCACGTGGATAAATCTTTTACTTTACATTATGTCACGTAAATAAATCCATTACATTATGTCACATACATATAGAGAATCTCACCCAAGTGTCTTTTGATATCAAATATGTCAACACAAGTTGATAAAAGTGGAAAAAATTTCGAGGCTTGCGGGGGATCGAACCCCGGACCTAATGTCACGTGGAGAAATTAATGACATTTAACGTCGCGTTCAAGAATATTGCATTCAGACACAGTATACTGACTCCTTGTTTTACCCCCCTTATGCCGAGCAGCAAGCGGGGTAACAACAAGTACCATTTTTAGACGTCTTTTGGTGTGAGGCGACCGGGGATCGAACCCCGGACCTTCCGCTCTCCGGGCAGGCGCTCTACCGTCTATCGGTCCATTATACGTTATGATATATACTCAACAACAAAAGGTCCTGTGACACCAATATTTTAGTTCAATTTTCAAACAAGTAAAGTTTGGTTTTCAATATTGTAGTACATGTATGGAATCAAGTCACAAAAACGCAACTGCTACAGAAAAGCATGCATTCCATGCAAAAGTTGACTTTTATGCAAGCCCCATGCATTTCACTACCCAAGAATAGGCAGAAAAACATGTGCGTTAACGGGATTCCATATGCATTGTTTAGCATCGTGCTGACAGCAACCACTCAGAAAAACAACAAAATTACGCAATTATTCAACATTACGAAATGCTACGCCTGTCCGAAAATGAGCGTCTGCGAGCCATTGGTATGCTTGAAGCACGATCGAGTCAACGTGATGTTGCAAGACAATTAACGTCTACAGAAACACCATTTGGTGTTTATGTCAACGTTGGCAACAGACGAATGCAGTCAGAGACCATCCTCGGAGTGGCAGGCTACGCGTAACCAATAATCGACAAGACAACTGGATTCGAACAACACACCTACGAAATCGATTCCAGCCAGCAACAGTGACTGCAAGAAGCATCCCTGGCCTTCGACGAATATCTTCACAAACCGTACGTCGTCGCCTCAGATGTGCAGGGATTGTCGCCAGAAGACCCGCCAGACGTCCAATTTTGACAGGAAACCACCGTCAAGCACGTCTACAGTGGTGTAAACAGCGTCTACGCTGGACGGCCATGCATTGGGAACAAGTTCTATGCACTGACGAGTCTCGTTTTCACCTCAGCCACAGCGATGGACGGATTCGAGTATACCGACGTCGAGGTGAACGTTAAGTCAATCATTGTTTCATGGAAGAAGATCGGTTCGGGGGCGGCAGCGTTATGGTATGGGGTGGGATTACAGCAAGACAGAGGACCCGTTTGATAGTGGTCGAGGGAAATCTCAATGGACAGCGCTACCGCGACGAGATCATCGACCCTGTTGTGCTACCGTTTTTGCGTCGTCATGGCCAAGGTATTACCTTTCAAAATGACAACGCCCGGCCTCATATTGCTCGACTTGTTCAGGATTCTCTTCAACAATGTCATCCCCTGGCCGGCTCGCTCCCCTGATCTCTCACCAATCGAGCACATGTGGGATGAGATGGATCGGCGCCTTCGACGTCAACCACGTGTTCCACAGACACTCCAGGAACTTCGAAACATGCTCCAGCAGATATGGACAGATATCCCACAGGACTTTGTGCGACGCCTGGTCCATTCCATGAGACGAAGATGTGTTGCTTGCATTGCAACCAGAGGTGGACACAAACGCTATTGATTTGTAAATTGACATTCTGGCATGTTCATTTTTTTTGTTTTTTATGAAATCACACATTTTCTGAAGTCAGTATGGAAAATTAAACCATTTGAACACTTACAGGAGTCTTTTATCTGTTGCAAACCGGAATTGTTTCAGATTTGGTAAAAAACATAACTTTGCATTAAATCTTTTTCAATGTCACAGGAATTTTTGTTGTTCAGTATATATTTCGTTAAGTAACGCTACACAACACAGTACTGCACATCACAACGCACACAGCAAGACTCTCTCTACCAACTACTCCACACAACACCCACAGCGCAGCACAGCACATATTTACCACGTTGTACTATGTACACAGGAAACATAACAATCCATCATAAAACGCGTGTCTTACACAAACATGGACCTTGCTGATTGATTGATTGATTGATTGATTGATTGGAACCGAGCGCGGTAACAGACAGCATGTTGGTATGGTGTGTTTTGTATGTTCATGCTGTCTGAGATTTTTTATGATTATGAGCTGTGCTGTGTTGTGCTGTGTTGTGCTGCGCTCATGATGTAGTCGGTATCGTATTTTGAAGTGTTTTTTCAGGTGAAGAATTGACTTGCATTTGCATGTGTTTGTAATGTGTGCCACGTGGGGCAGGATACGCTCAAACACATGCTTCTGATATAGTCGGAATCGTACAATCGACTCGGCTTTCAGAGATGGAAAAGGTTTTGTCTCTAAAATTTATTATGATGATGTGTTGTGCTGTGCTCTGCCGTGCTGTGTTGTAAATATTGTGTTGTGCTGTGTTGTAAATATTGTGTTGTGCTACGCTTATGGTGTAGTCGGAATCGTATGACGGACTCTGACATATATAGAGCTTTCTTATGCTTTTCTGTTTTTTTTTATGATTATGGAAATGGTTTCTCTTTTATTGTAGATATTCAATATTTTAGAGTAGTGTGAAACTTTTCTTGTAGACAAAATAGATTAGAATAAAAAAAATGTTCAAGGTTTGGCATCCTTGTTGATGTCGTTGATTGATTCTCCACCTTGAATATATAGCGACGGCGCGATCGTACCCGTGATGCGAACTATTGGCCAAAAAGTGAGTAACATGACCATGCTGGATGCACTTGGACCATGTGTTTACTTTGAGTATAGAATATTTCGTGCCAACCAGCTTCAAGATAGCGAGAGTTTTTAAAATTAATTTTGACGATGAAACAAATTTAGTCACGATTCATAGTGATTCTTTTGTTTCTTCCCTACATGTGTCTATTCATCCATACATATTAAATGTTATTTACAATATAACTAGCACGGAACTACTTAAAAAAGAAACATCATACACTGAAAACTGAACCAAGTTGGTTCACAAGAAACACACTTGACTTGCCTTTGCACGTGTTTGTGATGGGAACCGCAGGCGAGGCAGGATACGCCCGCCTTTTCGCGAACACCTGGTATCATCACTTTTTGATAGTGATTCATAAACATATGCTCATGCCAGTCGGAAAAATAGTATCGACTCTGCTTTTAGCAGAGATCTTTTATGAGTATGGAAAGGGTTTTGCCTCTTTTATTATTAATTCTTTGTCAGATATTTCTATCTAATTTACTGAAGATGTATTCATGCTGTCATATTATTAACCTATCGACATATATATCGCACGCACGCATAGCACGCACGTATTACCTACCTGACCCGTGAAGATCCGGGGTAGAATAAGTCTTCAGCAACCCATGCTTGTCGTAAAAGGCGACTATGCTTGTCGTAAGAGGCGACTAATCGGGATCGGCTGACTTGGTTGATGCATATCATCGTATCCCAATTGCGTGGATCGATGCTTATGATGTCAATCACTGGATTGTCTTGTCCAGACTTGATAATTTACAGACCGCCGTCATATAGCTGGAGTATTGCTAAGTGTGGCGTTAAACAAACAAACAAATCTACCTACCTACCTACCTACCTACCTACCTACCTACCTACCTACCTACCTACCGACCGACCGACCGACCGACCGACCGACAGACAGACAGACAGACAGACAGACAGACAGATTTAGATCGTATATGTAACCATGAGACCAATAGTACAATTACATTTTGTTGTATGACAGTTTGTCGCGGAGAACAATAGCATATTGTATCTAAATAGATACACGTATTTTTAACGTTATTTAATTCATCCCTCAAAGAACCATAGTCACAATTTTGTTCTTGACGATTACAAGAAGAGCAAGGCTGCACTGATACAGCTGCTGTATTTTACCATCAGTGATTCATAGATGTCAACGATGCTGTGGTGCATGGTCGTTGTACGCAATGTCACGGCAACAGATGGTAGATCCGACACTGTATATACAATTGTCAATGCCGGCTTAACTTGGGCGTGAAAATGTAAACATGTGGAGGACATTTCTAAATTTGACGCATGAGTGACAAAAATGATGTCCGATGTTATTCCCTTTTTTGACTTGTGGGATATGTTCTATGCTTTTTCGTGCGATCAATTGACTTGCCTTTGTATGTGTTTGTGAACCGGTGGGGCAGGATACGCTCACCTTTTTGCAGACATTTCTTATGAATATGGGAAGGGTTTCGTCGCTTTCATTTACACGCGTATAACTGGAGATGTTGCATGTATGACTTCCAGAAATATGCATATCAGTTCAAGAAATCTGTATATCTGTTCCGGAAGTAACGAAGCCGGATAGAACAAGGGGTTGGTTGTATCAGGACGTGGTGCATGCACATGTTCCTCTGTCCCATGGCATCATATCTAGTACTGAGCATGCTAAAACATTGAAGAAGAAACACATAAGGATAGTATAAAACTAGGAATATTGAAACATTAGTAAACCACTCCCTACTCACCATTTCCATTCTCTGCCCTTCTTCTTCTTCAAAGTAAAGACTCCTTCCAGAATCAGCAGCGGGAGAGAGCCTGTCAGACACCAGTAGAGGGGGTCCCCCTTCATCACAACCACCCTCCAGATACACACAAACCCATGGGCAGCGAACAAGCACCTGCCGATGACCGCCTTCACGATGCCAATGGCTGTCATCGCCTTTTTCAGGCACTTCTTCATCATTACGGACGAGTTGAAGGAGCTGACCGAAGTGTTCCCTCTTCTCCTCCAAGTTCTGGCGGCTTTAACAGGTTTCAAATGAAGGTTTCAACAGGTTTCAAATGAAGGTTTTAAAGGGTTTCAATTGGAGATTTTAACAGGTTTCAATTGGCGGTTTTAGCAGGTTGCAAATCGTGAGCAACAGTGAAACATCTTGTTTCATCATGTTTATGACAATTCCTGTAATGCAAACGTCGGTGGCTATCCCATTCCACCGTGGGCTTAAGTCTTAGGTCTCCTAACTCGTTCTCTGATGACGTACATATCATTTAATATCACATCCAGTTAGAAGGAACATCCAAATGCAATTTGTGACCCTCGTTGGTTTTCACTCATAGTGTGTTCTTGTTTCTTGGAGTATAGGTATTTCCCATAGTGTGTTCTGGTCTCCAGGAGTATAATTTAAATCACATCAACAAAGAAGGATTATCCAAATTGAAATTTTCTTTGGCGCTCTTTCGTGTTCTTCCCCCTTACTTACTGAAACACATTGAATACCAAGGATTCCTGACAATACACCTCAGGTCTGCGTTTGCTTTTAAGTACTGCAAAAAGGTAAAGGTCAAGTCAAAAGATAAGTTTTCATTCGCACTCCATTCCAATAGACGCATATGCTCATCCAGTGTTCCTTGGAAACTCGTATCCTCAAAATCCTCCCAGTTCCTGAAATCGCCTTCTGTGCATCGTCAACGGCAGACACATCGCACATAACACTACAGAGGTGCAACACGATTGACGAATGTGCTGTTAAGAGATTAACAATAATGTCTGAATGTAACCCATTCTGAATTTATTTGCTGATTTAAGAGGCATTGACATCATCTTTGTCTTCTTTTTGGTGTTCATTGTCTTCATCGGTGTCTCTTGAACCACTCTTATTATTAAATTGTTCTCTCTTTAGAAATATTTCGAGCATCCGTGCCTTCATACGAACGAGCATTCTGCGGTTAGACACGCCAGGCGTCACGTGACCTGCTAACGGCACGCTGGGATGCAATGAGCGACATATTGGCGGACCCATGAACTAATTGTTTTCGATTGGGAATATCCTGGACTGGTGATATTTAGTTGATAATCAGGATTATGAAACAGGTTAGTTCAACGAGAACAATTAAGCAAAAGGTTTAATGCTCAATAACAATATCAAATATATTGAGCATTAATAATTCACCGAATGTGGAATGTGGAAGAATATGCGTCATCTCTTGTCACATGCGTATGTAGTGTTATCACAGCATGTGTTCATTGTTTACAACGCGGAATTGTTTTTTAAATGTTCTGTTTTATCATTTTTGTATCGACAAAAAGGAAAGTTGAATCGGTTTGTTTCGTTGTTTTGACCGACACTGGTTATTCAGGCGTTGACGTGTTATATTTATAACAAATGCAAACTAAAACAGATTTGGGGTTAAGGTTAAGGGTTAGCGCAGAAGCAATTATCAATTAGGCTTTGTCAACTACAACAGAAATGTTTGGGCCGAGACTATAAATCTGCCCCACACCGTGTTACAAAACGAGCATATTCCCCAGGCGTTTTCTTTACTTATAAGCAGCAAAATATCTAGACTTGAACACAACATTGCACTTGTCGTTTCCAGTTTCAACCAAATCATTAAATCCATCACTTGATTGTCTGGTTTGTTTACGTGTCGCCTTAGCATGGTAGGGGTACTGACGTGCGGTGTCAGGCAACAAACATATTTTTTTATGAAACGTATGAGTGGCGGGTGCTACCGGTAGTGCAGGACATGGACATCATGTTCGCGAATACCTCGTCTCATCACTGATTTTCAGTGTTCCATTCAGTATTTTATGGAATCTGTTTTTCTCTGGCGCTGACGAATGGGAATGTCTGCATAACCTGACGGCCAAAAGAAACTTTACCACTTTAATTATGAAATTGCAAAAAGTTAAAAATACAAGTTCAAACTAAATGAGTGCAAAACACATCGTCCAAACACAGCAATGCTCTATGCAGCAAGTGATTCACGTCCACGGCACGATTTTTGTATAGAAAATACCAAAATAAAGAAAAACACGTGCCTCTTGGGCAGCCGAAACTACAGGTGCAATAAAGGTTATAAATTATCAGTATCAGACACTCAAACTGATACACAATACACCACATAAATGCCACTACTGACACCCGAACAACGTGAGCGGGCCCTGGCTATAATACAGATCGGAGCCACCAATGCCCACATTACTAGAACTTTTGGTTGCTCCCGTGCTCAGTCAGTCCAAGAACAGGCAGACCCAGGGTAACTACGCCCAATGAAGACCTGTTCTTGCGTACATTGCATCTCCGGAATCGATTCCTGACAGTGACGTCATCAGCGACGAATGCCTCAGGGCATATGGTTAGTCGACTCAGGGCTCAAGGAATTAGGGCTTACTGGCTGCCACGTGGTGTCCTTTATCAACATGACAACGCAAGATCCCATACATAACTTCCTTGCAGCCAACAACGTCAACGTTATGCCGTGACCTGCACGCTCCCCAGACATGTGCCCCATAGAACATCTCTGCCATGTCATGGATCGTCGTGTTCGACAGCGAACGCATCATCCAGCCAACCGACACGAACTGATCCAAGGCCCTCCAAGAAGAATTGTGACGTATCCTACTTGACGTCATTAGACGACCGACTCTGTACGCCAGAGAGTTTTTGCGTGTCTTGTAGCAGGGGGTGGTCTTACACGTGGGGGTCATATCAATATGACGTGTCCTTGAATTTGAGCGATTTTTAGATGTGTGTGCCTTTCGTTGAAAGCATATTTTTGCTACTTCACCTAAATTCGGGCAACTGTTATGCCAATATCGGATGCTGTATGACTGTAATTTTAAATGTTGATTTCGTTGAAATTGTGATCTTTTTAATACATTTTACTTCATGTATCTATCTTTTGTGGTTTTTAAACTAGAGTGATTTAAAACTATGGTAAAGTTTCTTTAAGCCGTCAGTTTATATACAAGGGATATTTTTGCTCCGTATTCGTGATTCATTTATCGAGTATATTTGAATGAAACGGTACTGTTCCGATAATCGTTATCTCTTGATATAAATACCAAACATAAAACAAGATTAAGAATGGGTTGATGTGGAACATTTATCCTTAGCAATATCCTCATTAGCAATTTCCTTATGATAAAGGGGGCATTGGTGACCAGTTGTCTAATGCGCTGTTATTCGCTACACAGAGTTGCGTCCCTTAGGCGTGCCAGAGACCTATGGTCGTGGGTTCAAATATCACATTTAAACTGTTTGTGTTTCTAAGTATGTCAGCACCATACCCGTGCTCGTGGGTTTCACCAAATTGGTAAACATTTTAGACCTGCATCATTTCGGGCTTTCCCGCCGTGATTAACTAGTAACTGTAAAAGCGTTAACCAAACTCACTCACTCACCCTCTTTATATACAGGGAGAAGAACCTGGCTACGAGCATCGATGAACACGGCTTATCTGTACCGAGTGAAATAGTTTTGAAAGTTCTGAGTTTTAATTCACAAGGGCGAGATAATCCGTAATTGAGAAGGGATTGAGTAAGTAGAAAATTACGGCGATGTTAGAAATATTACAGCAGTTACAAACGGCTTCACAGCAACAGATACCCGAATAAGCGAACCCGTACATCAAGCGCGACAGTCTTTAACCACTGAACCATACCATTGCCCCCTTATCAGAAGAATGTTCAAATCCCAGATTCCCTCCCCGTATATATATATGTCCCTAGTTTTCCTCAGAACCACATACGTCTACGTGGACTTTTACCGAAAAACCATCATACAGAGAAACCGCATTTTACGTCGATATTATGGCTGTGGGATTCCTGAGTAGAACAACACATGCCTGTTAACATCTTCCCGAAGCAAGGTAGTTTACTAACTATAAGAGTCCAGTTTCCACTCTTGCTGAACTAGGCTTGAATGTTATATTTTGGCTGAACTAACGAGTCAAAGCATAGTCCAATCAAAATCGCGTGACGAAATCGACATCCGGTTCGTAAACTGCAAAATATCAACTGGGCATCGACATATATTTTCCAAATCTTTTCATATTTTTATGTCTGAGACAGGGAATGTGAAACTTTTATTTGATTAACTTGATCAAATCGTTTTGACTTGGAGCCCCCCTTTTGATTAAAGCAAATTCAAGTGATATAGGAGGTGGAATATGATTGGTCAACAGGAGGTTTGTTTGTTTGTTGTTTTACGCCACACTCAACAATATTCCAGCTATATGACGGCGGTCTGTAAATAATCGAGTAATTGACATCATGAACATCGATCTACGCAATTGGTCAGAGAGGCTGACCACCCGACCCCGTTAATCGCCTCTTACGACAAGTATAGTCGCCTTTTACGGCCAGCATGGCTCACTGAGGACCTCTTCTGATCCGGATCTTCACGGGTGTCAACAGGAAGGACATAGAAGGGACATAACTCGTAATAGACACTGGTGGCGCTACGACCGAGCCACGAAATTCCAACCTCGGGAAGATGGCTTGTCGACGAATGATGACCAGGTGGTTACGCTATTTAACATGGCTGATTGTCCCCTGACGTAATCGGTGCTCATATTAGCAACCACAAGTTGGCATGAAATGATTATTTCCAGGTGGCCATGATATACCAAATCTCATCAAAATCAGATCTTAGTTTTCGCTACCGCTAACCAAAGATCTGAGGACATCCCATTACGGGTTACGTCAGAACGACCTTTCGCGAACATTGACCGACCAATGAAATGACTGACAAGAATCGACATTAGCAAATCAGAAGGCAGCTTTCTCGAGCTTTACGGCAATAGTTTCAAACTGGCGACTATGCTTTGAAACATATTTTGATATATTCTCGATTAAAAAAAATAAAACTGACCAAAACAACATTCTGGAATGGCTTATAGATGGCCTAGATTGTATGGATATAATCATAAAACCCGTAACTGTCGTTCGGAATACCCTCTGTTAAATATTTCGAGGTTGGATGATTAGAAAACACATTCCGACGGTCACTTTCAGGATCTGGTAAGCGACGCTCTGATTGGTTGGATGAAAGGTCGTTCTGACGTGACCCGTAATGGGATGTCCTGAGATCTTTGTTTAGCGGTAGCGAGAACTAAGATCTGATTTTAATGAGATTGTGATATACCTGGACTATCTCTGACTGTCTGTGATTGGTAATTATTTATGTCTCGCACTGTACTGGTTTCATCGCCGTGTGTTCTGTGTGTATTGATTAGAAAGGTGTTATAACCAGCAGCTGTTCGGGACTGAGTCATGCTGTATAGTCATGTTCGGTCAAATCCATATTTCCCGATAAGGTGTGTCAGCTGAACAACGTATCAGCGATATTCTACACGGCTATCGATTGTCCTGACATGAGAGCTTGCTGATGTGAATAATAAAATATGCTGCATAATCATAAGTGAAATGTACACATATACCATGCCATTCTGTCGTGTTGTATTGATTTATATGGATTTATTCATTTTATTCACTGTGCTAAAGTTTAAATTAAAACAATTCTGACATTGCATATTTATTTATTTTTTTCAAAATGAGCACTTGATGAGCAAATGAGTTTGATTCGTTCGGTGTCCATGATTATTTTGTTGATATTATATTCCATCTTTTATTTGGAATGATGTCAATGGAAATGAAATTGTTCAAAACAGCTTCCCGAGATCACGTCCGCCATACGAAATTTCGCGCCGCGGTTGTAATTGAGGTGGGTTTTTTTAAACAGTAGTGTATGCACTGTTCTTTTGAGAACAGACGCTAGAACAGCAAACGCTGTTTATTGGCCCTCTCTATAACGTGTTTCAACATGACCTCTTTATAGCGTGTCATAACAGGTCCTCTCTATAACGTGTCACAACAGGCCCTCTCTATACCGTGTCACAACAGGCCCTCTCTACCATGAGATGTTAATACAAGCTTGCAATGTAGAATCTCACTTTCGTTCCAGAGAACATATCAGGAGATCCAGACACCAAGGTATTGGTTGCACACGTAATTAATCACGACAAATTATGTATAATATATATTTTATTTCATATTTTCAATTAACCATATATGATAACATACAAATCAACAGTTTCAAATAATACCTCACACGGGGATATTGCACTATGCCCAGCCATCTTGTATGCAGATACAGTGAGACCTCGTTAATACGGACCTCCTTTATCCGCAAACTCCCGGATTCTTGATACTTCTTTCAGGAAAGTCTAAAAATATAAACAGGGAGGTGGGGTGCGGAATGAATTGTGAAGTCGACTGATTCCTAAACCAAGTTTTATAAGAATCTGGCATAGAATGGATATTCATCCGTAGCCGTGATTCGTTAATTAGGACGATTTCATTCGAAACGGTCTGCATTAATGGGGTTTCACTGTATACAAAAGCACTTTACAATATACATATGTACATTCATATAAATGATACATGTAAGTGGCACGAAGCAGCTGTAGGACAGTGAAGCCAGGATGGATGTATGTGTCCAAGGACTGGTACCTTTATCTGTGTGATAACACATATTAGTCCTGCCTTCACTCTTCTCCATACAAAGTAGCCTTAGCTATACAAGATACATACCACAGGTAACCAACAATATATAATCATAGGAAATAAGTTCAAAATTTCAATCAGTGTGTAAAACCGGAAATACTAAAATGAGGTTTTAAATTAAATGCCAAATAATTATATTCGGAATCCCATTACATTCATTGTTATGATCAGACGGTTGTAGAATTGTCTTTGAAGAATTACATACTTTACCTCCAGATGTAATAATTGAAAATGTAATTAGATGCATATTATCCCTGTGCTTTAAATTAAATATATATTTTTCCTAAACCATTTCTAAATGTTATTTTGAAATTTCATCAAAATTTATTTGCTAAGTTTAAACTTTGATTCGCATATTTCATCTCAGTAACTCATATACAACTCCTGACATACACTTAGAGAACGGTATTTTGAACATAGATTAACGTGTACGGTTGAAGATGCTCACGTTGTCTCTTAGTTTTGCTGTTTGAAATATGAATATTACCCATTATTAATTCCATTGTATATTTTGATATATCCTGCCGGGCAAAAGAAAGTATACACCCATGTGTGATGGTGGTTAAACATGAAACAAGCAAGAAATGGTTATTCAATGGTGATGTATTTGACACGGGTATCATGGTTGTGTTTTGGATCTTGAGTTTGCAGTGTTTCAGCAACTGTTTCAGCCTTGTAACGTTTTGATAACGTTTTTAATTGTTGAGTCAATTTCAAATTTCAAGTGCATATTTTCTTTTGCCCGACAGTTAAGATCATCTAAGTGCCAGTCAAATTTGCGCAATTAAAGGAGACGAGTGTTATCAGAGTGTTGAACACTATCGTACAGATCATATCAGTAAACGCATTTCAAGTTATTGTAAACGATGTGTTATATATTTTGAAGTTTCACGTCGAAGACGAACATATGCAACATAATAGGATTTACTATACAAGGAAAACGTTCGTCTCATGGGTGCATATATTTCTACATTATAAGCTTGCCTGGGGTATCGAAATCATTAGCAAGAAATGCTTACGTCAGCAGAAAAATTCTCTGCGGTTGAAATAAGCATAAATGTGACCTAGATATCTTACTATTCATGTGTTCCTCCGTGCGTGTATATACGTATTGATTTTACCAACAATATTCGCACAACTGTGAAACTACATATTCTAGCGGTATTTGCATCACTTAGGAGTGAGCTGTGTATACGTGTTTCAATCAATCCAATGTCAGCAATATACTCAACTGCAAAAATAAGTATGTTCTTATTTCTCTTATTGTGATTTTTGACAAAAACATTACTCAAAACGCCTCTCGTTTCCTTAATGTTTTGAGGTGTGGTTGTGTTGAAGTATTGAGGTGTGGTTGTGTTGAAGTATTGAGGTGTGGTTGTGTTGAAGTATTGAGGTGTGCTTATGTTGAAGTATTGATGTGAATTGTGTTTAAGTTTCGAGGTGTGCTTGTGTTCAAGTTTTGTGGTGTGCTTATGTTGAAGTATTGAAGTCAACTTGTGTTGAAGTTTTGAGGTGTACTTGTGTTGAAGTATTGAGGTGTACTTGTGTTGAAGTATTGAGGTGTGCTTATGTTGAAGTATTGAAGTGTACTTATGTTGAAGTATTGATGTGTACTTGTGAAGTTTCGAGGTGTGCTTGTGTTGAAGTTTTGTGGTGTGCTTATGTTGACGTATTGAAGTCAACTTGTGTTGAAGTATTGATATGTGCTTGTGTTGAAGTATTCAGTTTTTAAAATTAAGAATGAAACAAATTCAGTCGTTGAAATTCAAATTGTGCGAAGCAAGTGATCTTGACACAAGTTAAGGTAACATGTTCGGTTTTTGCATTTCCCATTGTTTGAACAGGAAAGAAGTATCAGGGTGTTCCATATTTGAAGCCATGCTCTGGCGAGAGTGGATTCTGGAATGCACAACCAGCCCGTTGATCAGCCTGGTAGATAGATCATGTCACAATAAGTATTGCTAACCTACAGTTATCAACAAAATGATGTGACCACCCTTACTTTTACCGTTGAGAATAACCCCCATTGTAAAAGTAGGGACTTTTGAACATTATACATTTTATACAACGTTGTATAGTCTTGTATCTCATACAAAGTTGTTTAGTCTTGTATCTTATACAACGTTGTATAGTCTTGTATCTTATACAACGTTGTATAGTCTTGTATCTGAATATTAAACCGCACTGAAGTAAATGCAGACATTAATGAATGTAAATATAGTCTTGAAAGACAGTATTTAGAAGCATATAATCCCGGTGTTCGGAATAATATTTTGAAAAATGGACAATTTCAGACTCTTCTTCAAAAGAATTCTAAAAGAACATTGATTTCCCAATTTCTTGCGCAAGCTTGATGTACATGTCCACAATATTCCCGGTACTCGGGTATGGAGGTATGGTAATTCCCGGTACTCGGGTATGGAGGTATGGTAATTCCCGGTACTCGGGTATGGAGGCATGGTAGTCTGGGCGAATACGTCATTCAAGCATCACAACACATGGCACAATTAAACAAAACCAACATTTTCAGTAAACTAGCATCTCAATGATAGCCTCGCCCGCGGGGTTTAAGGGGCTCTCTCCATACATTTTGGGCCGGCCATTTTATGTTCTGACAAGGGCGTGTGGGTGAAGAGGAGGCGTACTTTGGAACAAAAATATTTCAGAAAATAAGAACCGGAAAAATAATTTGGTCTCATATTTTACAATATACAGTGACAGTGTATTATAATGACCGAAAAATAATCTGCTCATTTCCACCGTATATAATATGTCTGTTCCCTAGGCCCGGAGGTTATTTCTTGTGTATGGGCAGAATTTCAGTCGTGATAAACGTTTGAAATTCTTACACTGACGAACATTTTGAAACGACATTATTACAACGTTTTTCTACAACAGTTTTGTTTTCTTCCCTTGTGAAGCCCGACACGGTGACTGGGACCACTATAAAAGATGGTTTGCCCGAAACGTTGGTTAGTTGCTAATAATGGCCTTGGGGTGACACGTACACACCTTCTGTGATTGGTCTTTACACCACGTCCCTGGGCCCATTGTCTGACTAGTTCTAGATACTTTCATTATTACCACGTGTGAACTTACACATCGTCTCTGCGGAAACATATCATACATAATCGATATTAAAATTTGAACAATCAGACAAAGAAATCGTTGTTTATGGCGCTTGTATCAAATTTGCTGGGACTGTCGATGACTTAAGCCTGGAGCCCCTTTAACGAACGTTTTTCTCTTCTCGCACATGCAGATTTATAATGTCGATGATTGTTATCAAGCTATCCTTTGCCCTAGACACATCATGTGCACATTCAAACATGCCTTTCTGTGAGAAGCCAATCTTTAACTACGGGATTCGTTTTAAAGCTAAAGTATTTTTAACAACAACAAATAAGTCTGTCAGGCGACGTACCGTATATAACTGGCTCGAGTAACGGGATAACTATATGTGTCCAGGGTTTGCCTACTACCCATTGTAACAGTACCAACAACAACAACAACATTAAAAGTGACTGACGTCTGAAAATCAATGAAACATTGACTAGCAGTCTGAACCATCAATAAAACATCGACCAGCAGTCTGAACATTAATGAAACATTGACCAGCAGTCTGAACATCAATGAAACATTGACTAGCAGTCTGAACCATCAATAGAACATTGACTAGCAGTCTAAACCATTAATAAAACATTGGCGAGCAGTCTGAACATCAATGAAACATTGACAAGCAGTCCGAACCATCAATAAAACATTGACCAGCAGTCTGAAAAATCAATGAAACATTGACTAGCAGTCTGAACCATCAATGAAACATTGACTAGCAGTCTAAACCATCAATGAAACGTTGACTAGCAGTCTGATCCATCAATGAAACATTGACTAGCAGTCTAAACCATTAATGAAACATTGACCAGCAGTCTGAACATCAATGAAACATTGACAAGCAGTCTGAACCATCAATAAAACATTGACTAGCATTCTGAACCATTCATAAAACATTGACTAGCAGTCTGATCCATCAATGAAACATTGACTAGCAGTCTGATCCATCAATAAACATTGACTAGCAGTCTAAACCATTAATAAAACATTGACTAGCAGTCTGAACAATCAATGAAACATTGACTATCAGTCTGAACCATTAATAAAACATTGACTAGCAGTCTGAACCATCAATAAAACATTGATTGTATATGAACAGGTTGAGCTATCAATAAAGCCGCCCGATACTGCAGTGTTCACAGAACCTGGTTCACGCGGAGAGTCCCTTCAAGTGAAGATCAAATCTGTAGTTTATGCCAGCATGCAACTTGCTTCCTGGAATTTTGAATCATTTCGTTCCACTGTGCACGCGCATCGGAGTCAAAGTTCATGCCCAAGTATAGTCGACCAACCAGAGCCCGTGTCGGTTTCTCCGCATCCTTATCAATATGGATGACGGCAATGCTGAAGTAAACTTTGTCAAGCTGATAATGAGGTACGTCAAACGTCATGGTCTCGTTAAACACCGGGCTGACGTCACTAAGACGTACCGACGTCTTCGTTTTCTTCATAGGACGACCATCAAACATAAGGTTCACTTTCATGAAGGCATCTGAAAGAAACACGGATTACATGTATATGCTGCCGGTGAATACATTGTCTGCCTGCCTGTCTTTCATGTAGTATGTACAGTAAAGTACGGTTATAACGAACTCAAAGGGACTACTTATTTTAGTTCGTTATAACCGTAGTTCGTTATAAGCATATATACAGTATAACAACAGCAAATAGTCGGGACCCAAAAGTAAGTTTGTTATATCCGTCAGTTCGTTATAAGCGTGTTCGTTATAACCGTAGTTTACTGTAGTTCTAAATTATTGCATCACTTTGGGCTTCTCCTCCCACATTAAGCTGACACGCCGCGATATAACTTGAATACTGTTAAAAGCGGCGTTAAACCCAACTCACTCACTCTAACTTATTGCGATCCCCTGGCACGACCCTACAAAGGAGGGGGTGGGGTGTATTTTTGAAGGGTAGAATATGAATGTGAACATACTGGTAGAAGCCTTCGCCTGGTCCATGATCTTCAACCCCTGTGCCTTGATGATAGTGAGACTCAATTTCTCTGCTGTAGGCAAGTACATCAGCCCAATTTGTACCTCGCCGAGGTTTTCCTGATGTAAGAAAAAATGGAGTATTAGAATATCGACAAACTTTTCATTTTGTAGACAAAAATAAAGAATTTTTTTTTTCGGAATACCCCTGGTTTATATACAAGTGTACATTAATATATATTGTACGAATACCTCTGGCCAATATACAAATGTACATTAATATATTTTGTACGAAATGTACATTTGGCTTACAATGGTAAATATGTAATGACACAACATTATATTCATCATATATTCCATTTCTCCATTTGGGTTTATTCTTTGAGCAATATCAATTTCCATCATGCTTTAATCTGTAACGAAAACAGCTGGATGTGTTTATTATCTGTCATGGGTTTAAAGAATAACTTTTTGAACATAGTGAAATTGTTTTTATCCAATTTAGCAGCTATCTAGTTTCGAAACTGGACATCTGTCATCTTGCAACAGCTGTGGTCGATATGAATCTATGTTGATTGAGATGGGCATCAATGAAAGCTTATCATGCACGTTACAGTTCAGATGATTCACCCATTAAGGTTATTTCGAGATTAATGATAACAGAGAAGGGTGAATTTATTTTATGCATGCATGTTCTGGAATTTGGTGTCGAGTTTTAATTAAAGGTCGATGTTATTTTTCCTAAAAGACAATTTTATTCTGATTTTTCGAAAACAACGGCAAGAAGATCACATTTTTATAGTAGCCAAAATAAAAAGCAAAATAAAAATTTTTAACAGACAACGAAAATATAACGCTGTTGCAAGTATAACAAAGTTTCACTGACTCATCAGACACGGTAAGCATCCGAGCATCTATTTAAAAGTATAAGATGTCTGTGTGGGCGTGGGCGTGGGTGTGGGTGTGGGTGTGGATGTGGGTGTGGGTGTGGGTGTGGGTGATGGTGTGGGTGATGGTGTGGGTGATGGTGTGGGTGCGGGTGTGGGTGATGGTGTGGGTGATGGTGTGGGTGATGGTGTGGGTGATGGTGTGGGTGCGGGTGTGGGTGATGGTGTGAGTGCGGGTGCAGGTGTGGGTGATAGTGCGGGTATGGGTGATGGTGTGGGTGTGCTGCGGGTGTGGGTGCGGGTGATGGTGCGGGTGCGGGTGATGGTGTGGGTGTGCTGCGGGTATGGCTGCGGATGTGGGTGATGCTGTGGGTGGGTGCGGGTGCGGGTGTGGATGCGGGTGTGGATGATGGTGCGGTGTGGGTATGGGTGTGAGTGTGGGTGCGGGTGAAAGTGATCGTGTGAATGCGGGTGAGGGTGATGGTGTTTGTGATGGTGTGGGTGATGGTGTGTGTGTGTGTGTGTGTGTGTGTGTGTGTGTGTGTTGGTGTTGGAATGGGTGATGGAACGGTTGTTGGTGTGGGTGTGGTGGTGGTGGTGGTGATGGTGATGCTGATGGTGATGGTGGGAGGTAAGTTCGCCTGGGTCGCCCTGATAATTCTTCAAGCTGTTTAGGTACCCTAACCGTTCATCAACTTACATCAACCGGGGGCTGCAGTGGCTCGTCAAACACCACCTCCGTCTGCGTGGTCCACTCCACCCGTGACAACGGCACCACGACCTCGCCGACTACAATATGCCTTGTGTAGCGGTCAAAGTCGCACACCAGCATTTTCAGTGTGTAGTGGTGGATCTCGTTTGCATCAATTGGCACCATAAATATCTCGTTGAAAGCGGGGTCTGTGGACCTGCGCAGTATCTTTGTCTGGAACTCCACATCGAGGTTGTTCATTTCGTGCTCCCTACTCGCCTTGCCCCTGAAGGTAAAGAAGCTGCGTGGAGCCCGGTACAGCCTCACTTTGACATAAGGTGTCATGGCGCCGTCGGGATCGGTGATTGAGAAGTTGCTCAGCTTCTGGACTCGCATTGTAAGCCTGCCGTCGACTCTGTCATACATTAGACCAAAGACAAGCGAAGCTTTTTGAAAAAGAAATATAGTTGGCGAAGAAGGGGACTGGGGCTCACTGCGAATAGGTTTGAAGACGTGTTCTTTTTGGTGACGATCCTGAAATATACATTGGCAAAGTTGAGACCAATGAAACCCATGGTTGACATTCGTTTATTTTGTTCGTTTGTTTGTTAACGCCACATTCAGCAATATTCCAGCTATGTGACGGCGGTCTGTAAATAATCGAGTCTGGACCAGACAATCCAGGGATTGATATCATGAGCATCGATCCATGCAATTGGGATACGATGACATGCATCAACCAAGTCAGTGATCCTGACCACCCGATCCCGTAAGTCACCTCTTACGACAAGCATAGTCACCTTTTACGTCAAGCATGGGTTGCTGAAGACCTATTCTAACCCGGATCTTCACGCCTTGACATTCAAAAGTATGTTCTAAACAATGATGTCGTTCTTAATCATCGTTCTAACGTGTACAGTGTTCTTTGGGAGGCGGTGTAGAATACGCCGTGCACTGTTTTGTGAGGGGAGAGAAAATGGATCGGCTGATGACTTAGTTGATATCAACTGCTGGTTTGTCTGGCTCAGACTCGATTATTTACAGACGGCCGTGATAGGGCTGCGATAGCTAGAGTGCGGCTTTATTCAACATTCACTTCCACGTGGTGATATATTCAACCTTGTTAAGTACACTTGGTCACGCTGACGTAGATTCTCTTATATATACATCTGTACAATGACAGTCGAAAAGCTGCATGGGATCACCATCATCAGAGATTACAGTAACTTGAACATGCAAGTCATGTGTTACCTGTTTCATCTCAATGACGTCATGGGAACTGTAATCTGACCAATCGGAAGTGTCCGTGTCTTTAAATGATTGTAGAGGCTGCCAGGGACTGTTTTGTTCGGGTTTATAGTATGGAGTCGCGTGCGATCCTGTCGTTGAGCCATAGGCTGGCACTTTGTCCTTGCCCTTTTTCTCTGGAAGAAATATTAATATGTCTTACTTCTTTTGCACCAGGGGCGGTGGGGTAGCCTAGTGTGCGCTCTTCACACCGAAGGCCTGGGCTCGATCCAGCACATGAGTACAATGTCACTCGCCGTTATATTGCTTGAATATTGCTAAAAGCGGCGTCACATTATACTCACTCACTCTTTTACACCAAGGGTTCAACCTCCCGTCAGGACATAATAGGTTTGAATGGGAAAAATATATAAACAAAAGTAACAGCTTCAATGTGTGTATTTTGAAGATATTGAGGTTGTTAAAGAAACGTTACAACATTTGGATGTTAATTCATCTTTAGTAGGGATGAGTCTTAGAGAACTACCTCAGGATCACGATGACCTATCGGGTGGGACAGCACAGTAGTGTTGTATTGGAACAAACTGCAGCAACCAATTGTTTAGTTGATAGTAACTTCACAAATATAATTCCAGTATTGAAATCACTGTCAGGCCAGTTTTGTTATTGTTTGAGGAACTGGGTTAAATAGGAGAAGCCTTGTTTGTGGACCCTTGTCCATAATACAAGTACATTAAGTTATAAATTTATCATTAAAACATGCTTTTGGAAAACAAAAGTATATTTAACAACACTTTTCCGATATGTACAAGGTAAATTATGTTTTCGTAAATCTGCGAAGATGTGGATTTCTGACCAGGTGCTTTCATTATTCCATAATCATAAGAAATGTGTTTATTAATCACTATCAATAAGTGTGAAAAGGTGAGCGTGCCACCGTCACGAACACATGCAAAGACAAGTCAAATATCATATTGTAGAGTTTGATTACGTGGACTACATACTGCGATCATTGCTTCTAACTATGCTAACTTTGAGTATCCAGGTCTCCGTTTCACAAATAAAAGCGACAAAACCCTGTCTATAGTCACAAGAAATCCCGGCCAAAAGTAGAGTCAAGTGAACGATTCCGACTATATCATTAGCAAGGAATCACTACCTCGCGATGACACTAGATGTTCGCGAAAAGGTGAAGGTACCCTGCCCTGCCGGTGGCACACATCACAAACACATGCAAAGCCACTGTAGCACTAGGACTAGCGTAAGCATATACTAGTATATTGTACAGGCGTTTCCAAAGTAGGAACGCTTTTACTGCTTCGTGAAACAGGGACCTCATCACATGACCTCATCACATGACACCTGGTGCCATTTATGTAACTTTACGGTAATTCGCTTCCATTTGTTGTTTTTGTTTAATGTGACAGAGCTGTACGTGTGACTGAGTGAGTTGGGTTTAACGCCACTTTGGATAGTATTCCAGTTATATCACGGCGTGTCAGCTTAATGTGGGAGGAAAGCCCGAGGTAATGCAGGTCTCAGACGTTTATTGTGGTAAAAATCACAAGCACGGGTATGTTGCTGATAAACCACGAAACATAATCGGGGCGAACATAGATTCGAACCCACAGTCATTGGTTTGCGTGCCCGAGGGACGAAACTATGCACAGCGAATTGCGGCGTCTTAGACGACTGCGTTAACCGTTCCCCTATGTATGTGTGAATTGAATTAACTATATTATTTAAACATATAAACGTACCTCTTTCATCCTTTTCTTTGCAGGGACAGATATGGAAGAGACAACAGAGGGGGCTGATGGCACAGAAGACGAGGATGCCGATAGTGAAGAGTGCTGTTAGTGCTGCTGCTATTATGACGAGCTTGTCCCAAGGTTCCAGGTGGTATATAACTGGAGCCTCGGTTGCTGACATGTTCTGGTGCTTCCTCAGCCCATCTAGCTCTGGAAGGGAAAGGGTTGATATAACAATCAACATATACAGTGAGTGAGTTTGGTTTAACGCCGCTTTGAACAGTCTTCCAGTTATATCACGGCGTGTCAGCTTCATGTGGGAGGAAAGCCCAAAGTGATGCAGGTCTCGGACGTTTACCACTTCGTAATATATCAAGTACACCGTATACACCTTTTCATCAAGTACACAGTATAGTGAGGTTGTTCCCGGTATTGGACAACTTCACCCAAATAAGAGGTGAGATGAAATGGGGTTTAACATCGCGTCCAAGATTATTGCACTTATATAGCGACGTGCATGTACGTGTGTGTGTGTTTGTGTTTGTGTGGCTGCTTGTACTAGGCCGGACTGATGCCGATTTATAGTGCTAGCTCACTGAGATACCATGCCGCAGTTTAACATGAATACCCCACTCAGACACAGTACACTGACTCCGAGCCGACCAGTCCTTGTTTTAGCCCCTTAATGCCGAGCGCCAGACAGGGTAACAACGAGTACCATCTTTTAACGTCTTTTGGTATGACGCGGCCGGGAGGCGGTCAGCCCAAATAAGAACGTTGAATTGCAAAATAACTCAAGATCGGGAATAGTCTATTAAAGGTCAATACACGGTACACGGCAATGAATAGCCTGTACCCAACAATATCTGTTGTTTGATATTTTTATACCCATCACTGGAAAACATTGTTTAAGAAACTATCAAGTTGTTATCAGGGTGACACAACAGTAGGTGGAACAGCGCAAAGACGTACTGCACGTGCTACATGCCCCTATTATGCTGCCATTCCTTGTACCGTTGTGTGCCTGCATGTGGAGTCAAAGACAGTGACGCGTAATCCTATATCCATTGTGACGAGGCGAATATGCATGCCGTAAGATGTCTCAGTCGTGTTGTATTGATGTCTCAGTCATGTGATATTGATGTCTCAGTCATGTGATATTGATGTCTCCGTCGTGTTGTATTGATGTCTCAGTCATGTGATATTGATGTCTCAGTCGTGTTGTAGTGATGTCTCAGTCATGTGATATTGATGTCTCAGTCGTGATGTATTGATGTCTCAGTCGTGTGATATTGATGTCTCAGTCATGTGATATTGATGTCTCAGTCGTGTTGTACTGATATCTAAGTCGTGTTGTACTGATGTCTCTTCTGATTTCTTACACACCTGTGGGTGAGAAACCCATTTGAGATAACTGGTATCAAACATATGTGTGAGATCAAATTCCAGGCTAGTGATTGGCTACTCCATGGTGATGACCTGAGGTCAGATTATGACGGACTACTTTCCAGATCATAAGTCATTGATAAGTTGCTCGTGCTTCAGTCGAATGTCCACCTGTGTTGAACGTAATGGTTTTAGAGTGTTAATATATATATATATTCCCGTGCTATGTTACATTCGCTAATCACAAGAACCGTAAAACATTCTCATTAACTGATCAAAGACAGCTTTATCTAAAAATCAAGCCATCATCTGAGTATATTACAAAGTCTGTTGACACCACAACTCTCGTTATAGCGGGAGTAATTCGCGATAAACGTTGCAGCCTGAAAACGTTTGATGTCCGAAAACAAATGATCCGACGATATATATGTCTATCCTCTTCAACCCTCACTTCCAAGTCGACTAAAATCCGAAATACTTCACGCACACCGAAAGTTTTGAATTCTGTTGGAAATTCCCTCTTCTGTGATATTATCCATTTTAGGCAAAGCAAAATTACTGTGTGTTTAAAAATCTAAATATCGGATATTTAGTCGAAGGATTGAATTTCAAAATAACATATTAGTGATCAGGGGAATCTGTTTTTCACCAAAACACCAATGATAATTCTGAAACGTCGCCGAGGAGCCTGGGATAGTTTAGAATGTTTTGTAAAATACCCAAACAAGAACGCCGAAGTGCACTTTCCGCCATATATTGGATAGTGTTGACAAAAATCACGTTTCACGCGGGTTATGAAACGCCTATTAGATCACGTACATTTCAAACTGAGCTGCGATACCTGCATCCCTGAATTCCTCCTACATTTTAGAATCATGTGACAAATGGTCTTTGTCACCAATACAAATCATCGAGATGACATCAAGCGAAATAAATTAGGTGTGGAAACGAACACTGTGCTCGGAAAACTGTACTTGATGAAATGTAAACAAAGCAAAATTCAGATTTTACACACTCCCATTTTGAGAGATCAAGCGTCTAATTGTTGCATACATTGGCTGACGCGTTTGAGAATATTCGTGGGAAGAGTATCGTAGCACGAATTATGGAATTAAAATTATATACATTACAATGATCAAGTTCCCGTTCTGTGTGACACCATGACTGACGCAAAGTCACGCACAACGACGACGGTAGTTATCTGCATTTCTGACAAATTCTCTTTGTTATATTGGAAAACATAAAAACATATAACAGTACGCAAATTGTCAGATTGTTTCTGATTACTTACATGACACATTTATGTATATAGGTTCTACTACACCAAATCAGTACCAGTTTGGAGAGTGCGGTTTTCGTAGGGAGCCTTCAGTACAGATCGAGAGATATCTGCAGGCTGTGATTGGAGGATATTCTGTAAGATTTTTATGTCTTTCAAATGTACATCCATCCAGTTAGTAAAACTGACCATGTTTTTCTATATTTAGTACTGTCTTTTTCAACATGATGACTTATGCTGAATGTGACCACAGCTATTTCCAAGTAGGTGACATTTGGTGCGAAACTGGGGGTGTTGTGTTTAGCTTCCGGTACTCGGAAAAGGAGCTGACTAAGCTAGTCATTTTTTATTTTTTTATTGCTGCTCTAAGGCCAAACTGTGCACACACGTACAGGTAATAGCTGTTGAATGCTTAGTTATTTTTGAAAAAAATATAACGTTACTATAGAAGTCTATGGGAAAACATTTGGTTGTGTGTAACCTGTACCATCCCTCAATCAACGAAAATCCTTCTCTGAAAATTCCGCGTACTGTCGCTATCAGTGAACACGCCATTTTGTAGAAGTCGGTCACCGGCAGTGATGTCATACGGTAGTAAACATTGTTGTACATATTTGGTCATTTCTTTTAGGTGATTTTTTAAGTCGGCATCATGCGGGTTCTTTGATCTTATCTAGTTTGCACTATCATCGTCGCCTTTGTAATCCACAGATGGCGGAATGGTTTTTAGGTTTAGGTGTAGGGTCACATTATATATGAATAGTAAGCAGTACGTCGGATGACGTCACTCATTACCAGTGTATTATGTATTAATGTGCCACTGCGATCATGAGAACAGACAAAATACATCGTTTCGATGCCAAAAAGGTGCGATTTTAGGGTGTGTAAGAAACAGATTATTGCACTCGTGCCTGTCAGATACCATTGATCTTACAACTCGTTGTTACAAAGCGTATCTAACTCGCTTTCGCTCGTTAGATATGTTTTGAAACAACTCGTTGTAAGATAAATGGTATCTGACAGGCACTCGTGTAGTAATCTCTATGTCTCAGCCGTGTTGTATTGATGTCTCAGTCGTGTTGTACTGATATCTCAGTCGTGTTGTACCGATGTCACATTCGAGTTGTACCGATGTCTCATTCGAGTTGTACCGATGTCTCATTCGAGTTGTACCGATGTCTCAGTCGTGTTATACCGTTGTACCGATGTCTCAGTCGTGTTGTACCGATATTTTAGGCGTGTTGTACTGATGTCCAATCGTTGATGTACACTTAGAGGGCCTGCTACACGCACAACATATCTCTTCAAAGTTTTAAAGTTCAAATTCACCATTGTTGGATAATCTTGGGTTGGAACCCGAACTGTTTGTGGAAACTCCACACACACGCGCATACGCATTTACACATACACATATACATACACATACACATATACACATACACATACACATATACATACACATACACATATACATATACATATACACATACACATATACACATACACATATACATACACATACACATATACACATATAAATACACATACACATACACATACACACATACACATACACATACACATACACATACACATACACACATACACATACACATACACCTACACACATACACATACACACATATACATACACATACACATACACATACACCTACACATACACACATACACACATACACATACACACATACACATACACATACACATACACACATACACATACACATACACCTACACACATACACATACACACATACATACACATACACATATACATACACATATACACATATACATACACATATACATACACATATACACATACACATATACACATACACACATACATACACATACACATACACATACACATAGATACATATACATATACACATACACATACACATACACATACACATACACATACACATACACATACACACATCCAGATCCACATCCACATCCATATGCACATGCACACGCACACGCAGGCACACATACACACACAGACACGCACACGCAGGCGCACATACGCACACAGACACGCACACGCAGGCACACATACACACACAGACACGCACACGCAGGCGCACATACGCACACAGACACGCACACGCAGGCGCACATACGCACACAGACACGCACACGCAGGCACACATACACACAGGCACACATACACACAGGCACATACACACAGGCATGCACACCTTTAAATTATGCTTGAAAAAATAAATATGCTTCAAATTGTGGCCAAAAAATTGTCAGCCACCAAAAAATATATTTTTGCAGGATATTTAAGAAACTATATTTAGGTTGTTAGTTGTAATTGCAGCTGTGGATGAACTAAAATCGAATTTCCATGGTACGACCAAGAATATGTAGAGGGCGTCATGGAAAATGATAAATACAAAATTCTTTGGAATAGGCCCGTATGGCGTATCCAGGCCAACAAACCTTTTTGATAAATCCAATGAAATATCATTAAATTTTCTGTCCCCTTTGACACTAATGTGATTGACAAGAT